CAAGAAGGGCTAAATGACTAGATTGCCCTTCTTGTTCCATCACATGCCGCTCACGTGCCATTTTTCGTCACTATTTTGAATGACAGTTAGGGGTAATGACGAAAGTAAGTCAATGTTTTAACATGGAGGACGAAATTAGAACATCGGGGATGAAAGTGCAACAAATGTCAAACCTCAGGGACTAACGGTGCAATTTACCCTAAAATTGAATTAAAGTTAAGTTGAATTTTTTTTCACATTGAGATCTATTTAATATTTTTCGGTCAGGAACATTGAAATCTAATTAAGTTGTGGAGATTGAAACATAATTTTGAATCAAATGATTGATTTTTAATAACGGTGCAACTGGAGCGGCCACCCTGAGCGCAAACCCCAACGCAATCGAAAAAATCAGATCTTGTGTTGAGGTTTTTAAAATTTGAATTGAGTCTGGTCCAAAAAATCTCAATCGAATTGAATTCGGGTAGTATCCAAATTGAGACTTCGAATTCACTAGTTCAACTCAAACTCAATCCAAAATAATGAAATCAGGCTCAACCAAATTAAAACTTTGGCCCAATCTCCATCATCTTTTAGATTTGCTTGACAAATTCTGCTCTCCACCTCTCTCCATCTATAGATTTGCTCGATAGCCTTGCTCTCGACTGCTCGTGTGAATCTCGTCTCCACCTCTATCCTCTAAAGGGTATAAGTTACAACTTTAAAGTTTATACTCCATAATAAAATATTATGATCTACCATGAAAACTACACATTTTAAAAAATTAAATTACCTCTTAAAAGTAAAAGTATATAATTTAATCATTAAAAAAATGTTATTTTTTAGTAATTATTCACGTACTATAATAATATTCATCAAAAATCACATGACATTACAATATACCGAGTGGTTGGTTAGTTTGGGCAACAGTTAAAAGGTAAAAATTTTATATTTTGATGATATGATGGTTATATTTAATGTAAAAGATGCCAAGTTAAATGGTTAAACTTAAAGATAACATCACTCAATCAATTTGAAGGACACTGCACCATGTGTAATCATATATGAGCCACATTTATCATAAATGTTTCATAGCCACATTAATGTATCGTTTTTCAAATCTATGTTCACCCAATTTATCCCCAACTTTGTCATTACATCGTCCAATCTTATACGTTTTTATTTACATACTTTATTAACACACAATATTTTATATCTAAGTAAGGATCGACGATAATTATTTCCCAATTTTATCAAGCTTTGGTCAACCCATGGCACAATAATCACTTTACCATATTACTTACACCACGAGTTTTAAGGTACCATTATTTTCCATAATTATAATAATTTGGAAGTATAATATGAAGAGTCATTTAAACCCAAGTACCTTTGAGTAAATGGGCTGAAATATATAAATGATTTTTTTAACTAATTCTAATTTTAAATCTTTAGGGATGCCTGTTTAATGGTATCAACACTGAATCTGTCGGCATGTTTTAATCGATGGTAATTGCTTTCAAGTTATTAGCCGAGTGCTTAGGAAGGAGACCCACTTTGTAGATTAAGGGTGAGGAAAATGCTACTGCAACTTAAAAATTGTAATATATTGGAGAAAATATGCATTACAATGGTGATACCACGTAACAATGTAACGTGATATTACCTACCAATAATATTAAAATAAATAAGTAAATAGACTCTAAAAAAATTAATAACTAACTTGTAATGTAAACAAATAACTATTCACTCTTCTTCCATGTAAGTCCAAGTGAGATTCACCTTATCCACTTGGAGTTTTATTATTAGTTGGTATTACCGTGTCATCAATAGTGGCATAATATCACTGTTCTATTCAATATTTACTCAATCTGTTAGATGAGTGTTGTATGGATTCCACTAAAAAGTTTATGGGACCATTCATACAAAGAATAATATGCATTTAAGAGAAAATATTTGTTACAACGGTGATAACACATGACAATGTGATGTAGTATCATCAATCAATAATATTAAAACAAATAAACAAATGGACTCCAAAAAAATTAATAACTAACATGTCAGGGAAGCAAATAACTTCTAACTCTTCTTCCATGTAAGTTCAAGTTGAGTTTATCTTACTCATTTAGAGTTTTATTATTAGTTGGTGATACCATATCATCAATGGTGACATAGTATCACCGTGTATTCAATATTTACTCTGCAATTGAGTTATAATTTTTTAGGTTCTATTTGAATTTGCATGATTTAAAAAATTGACTTGATCAATTAGTATTATTAATTTAATTATAAATCTCAATATTTATTAAGATTTATTATCTATTCAATTATTGTGATTCATTAAGTTAGAATATATAAATTTTTTTAAATATAAACAACATTTCTCATTTATTTAATGCAATTATTAACGAAACAATTAGTGGTGGACATGTATTTAGGATTGTCAGGTTAGTTTACGCATATTTTAATTAATTTTTAAATTTAAAACTTTTAAATTTATAACACAACTCTATTAGTATTTCCCTCCGACAATTTGTCTTCATGTCAGTTTACATGGTTGGTGGTGGGATCCACATGACCACATGTGGGGGGGGGGGGGGGGGGGGCGTAGCACGTTACTTTTCCTCTCATCAGAAAATTAATTTTTTTTTTTTTTTGGGTCTGTGAAAATCAAATTTGGAACACATAATAAAGGGGGCGGAGAAAGCCAGGCAAGGGGCAAAATGAAATTGTGAGAATCGGCGAGGCGTAAGGTAATAGAAGGCAATTTCCAATTTATACCCTTAAAATATAAACTCAATTTCTAGTAACCCTAAACATCCAACTAAGGCAATCTAATCCTCAAAGTTTTAACTAAATTATTATTCACCCCTCATCTAATTCCATTAATTATTTCCAACATAGATAGGATGTTCAAACTAACATACGTGCACTTCGCCAAATCTCTTATTCGATTTGGTCAAAGGCACCACAACATCTATGTTAGGACTAAGTATTCATGATATATAAATCTCATGATCTGGTCTAAAAAAATTGTTAATATTTAAACTTAAAACGTCTGAATTTATAATTTGTTATTGTTAGCACTTAAGCTATCATTTGAGGTATAAAAATATATTTATCCATTAAAAAATAATCATCTTTTTTAGCGTAAATATGTCAATATTTTCGTGTCTTTGGGTTTCTATCCTATTCTGACTACCATGGTGGAGCCAAGTTATGGCACAAGGAGACCATGGCCCTCCCCAAGTTTTGCAAATTATGCAATTATACCTCTAGAATAGTGCTTTTGATTGTATTTTATGTGCTCTTTAAAATATTATTCTTGACTATTGATTTGATCACATTGGACCATTATTCATTCCAATTGGGACACCCTGCATAAATCATTAATTTTAGATGTTTGTGCAAATTCATAGATTTTAGACTCTTTTGAATAGTTAATGGTTCAATGTATTTCACTTAATAGTCTAAAGGCAAAGTAAAATTTGTGTCATAGTTACCGAAATAAGATATGAAATACATTCTAACATTACATATAGGATTCAAAATTATATAAATTATTTATTTGAGAGAGTTTCACTTTCTCCTTCCCCCTTTTCGCATTCGAGATTTAGCTATGCTTTAGAGATTATGTGATGAAATTGATATGATATTATTGATTACTTGACGAATTAATTTTTTTTACATATAATTAATTCAACAAGATTCAATTACTTTTATCAATTTTATTAAAAATAATAATATATGGTGTGACATTGATTTTATTATGCTTTATGCATCTAAAAATTTGGCATTAACCATCTTAATAAATGACCCATATTAAACAGAAATTTATCGGTAGCTTTCAATTAGACCCACTTAAAAGGTATCTTCAATGTTGATCAAAACTCAAACTCAAATTCAAATTTAAATAAAAAAATGAGTAAAAATTTTGATTTGATACAAAATACTCAAATGGACAAACTCAAATATAATAGATGGTAAAATATATGGTCATTGAATCTATTAAAAGAGTAAAATCTGACTATTGAAGATTTGAAAAAATTTGATTTTGTCTTAATTTAAGTAAAAGTTTGAGTCTCTCTTTATTTGATATAAACTTAAGTCAAAGATTGGAATTTGTTTTTAATTTATTTTTACTCAAATTTAAATTTAAGTAAGAATTTAAATAAAGAATGGATGAAAATAAAATAATTTTTGAGTATCTTAGCTCCGTCCCTGCTCACTCCGTAACTTTATTTCTGGTTTGATATCTTATTTATCTCATAAATAGATGAAAATAAAATAATTTTTTTCTAGCAAGTGAGAGAAAATTTATCAAGAACAAATATACACCTTTCACCACAGAAGATATCGTAAATTTTAGGGGTGAAATTGTAAATTTTCCTGAAATAAATATTAGGATGAAGCGGGATGTGCATAGAAGATATCGGCTCAATGTAGCAAATACCGCCAGCGAGCTATAGAAACACCGGAGAGAGAGGGAGAGGGAGAGGGAGAGGGAGAGGGAGAGAGAGAGAGAGAGAGAGAGGGTCTGGTTTTTGTGGACTCGTGTCCAGGAGGAGTGTACGGTGTCGAAGAGGCACCACAGCGACTGCTCCGTCTCTGCCAAGCCGCCCTGCAGATGTACCCATTCAGTCCCCCTCTCTACCTCTATATACACTACACATCCCCACCCCCTATGCCCATCACCCCCACACCACACAGACTCTGTCATTGTCCCACAAGCGTTAAAGTACGCACCCAATAAGAGAGAGAAAGAGTAGTGTACTATAGGCGTAGGGTAGTGGGGAACACCGAGGTATAGGTAGTGCATATGAAGGTGGTGGCGACTGGTGAGTGAACGTAGTTGTGCAGTACCACATTGATCACCTCTGGTTCTGTTGTCAGACACCTGATCTCACAAAGCTTTTTTGTCCCCTCCATTCTTTTATTGTGGGGTATATTCTTCAACCCCAACTCGCCCGTCGTACCCGACTGCATTTAAGCCCATCTCCCCTGAGAGAGAGAGAGAGAGAGAGATGGTTTCTTGGAGCAAAGGTGAAGGGTCCTCGAGCCTACCCATGGTTGGGGCTGAGAAACTCAGATGCAGTACTGACGATCCTCACCCCATTGAAAGCAAAGCTAAAGGTTTAAATCATTCCAACAGTTTTTGCTTATTTTCTTTCTATTCTTTTGTCTGAAATACGAAGGCGGTGTTCTATCCTATGCATGGAGGTACAAGGGACTTCATAGGCCAATAATTTATATTTTTTTTTGTCAAAGGAAATGTTAGATTTAATGGATGGGATGGTTGGGCATAGGTCCTGTTGTTTCCTCTCAGTTGTTTATTAATTTTTATTTTTTTCCCAGATATTCTATCCATATATATATATTTTTTGCTCTTTCATTCGAAAAATCTGATGCATGTTCCTGTTGCATCTTTGTTTTGTATAGTTTTGTTGTTAATCCTTAGTTTTCTTCAATTAACTTCCATATCTGAGATTTTCAGAAAGGTTTTTCCTGTAACGATCATGACTGGTCTTGTAATTATTAATCTTGAGTCGGCCATGAATGCTTTAAAAGACCATCATCTTCCTGGGGTTTTATCTAAATATGTCATGTATATTCCTATTTCTTCATTTTTTCATTGAATTTTCACTTTAATTTCTTTGTTTTTTCTCGGCTAAGTTTCCTTGAGGAGATTTTCAGAGAGCTTTCCTCCGTAACTGTCGGGTTTTGGGTGTTACATATCAGTCTTGAGATGGATTCAGAGGGTTTTTGTCCTTTACACTTGGAGACGGTAATCTCTTCGGTCACCGCTGCGTCAATAGTTTTCTTTCCATCTTACACTCATCAAGTCCAATTTGGCCTACTGGGATTTTTGACTGTTCAATTATTACGAAGTTCAAATTGAAATTTTCATTGATCCGTAAGATTTTTGATATCTGTATTTTTCAATGCTTGAACCTTCATATTTAACTCTTACAAAAAGCTACAAAAACCCTTCTATAGGTTTTTTTTTTTTTGATTGTTGTTGGATGTTTCCCTTTTAGCCTCTGCATTTCAACCAAGCCATGGCCAAATAGCTGTGCAGTTCTTTCTCACAATCATTTTAGAATTTAATCATACACGTCGATTGCTAGCTAACTCCCACTCCCGAATCCCTGCTATGATCTCCTCCACCTCTCTCTCTGTCTCTACCCCCCCTTCCTGTTTTACATACAGACGGAGGCATGATTGTTCTCCCCTTCTTGTTTTGCTACTAATATGAATTGTGTTTTGTCCCTAAGGTTGGCAAAATGATATATATACTCAACTATGGCTTGCATGCGCTGGTCCCCTGGTTAATGTTCCTCATGCTGGGGATAAGGTTTACTACTTTCCTCAGGGTCACCTTGAACAGGTTTTGTTTTCCTCTGTACCTGATTCACTGATACATTCATGTTATTGTTGTTCATTTAGCAAATTGACAAAAAGCATCATCTCTACTTTTAAAAAGGAATCATTACTTGGACTCATTCCAAAAGTGAATAATGTTTTTATGCAGATTACATGTTCAATATTGACAATTTTTTTTTATTATCGTTCATTCAGAGTACGACAATAAAAAAATACAATCTATAAATTAAATATCGGATGGAGATGTAGTTATTGAATTTTGTCTTGTATTGTTGAATAAAAGGAACAATGGATGGTTGAAGTCCTTCCAAAAATGAATGAGATGACTTCAAGTTGTACTGTAACTTCTTGTATTTATCAAAGAAAATTACATATTAGGTTTACTTATTCATAGTGTAAAATTAAAATGATCATGGCATGTAATTTAAATGTCGGCTGGGGATGTAATTATTGAATTTTGTCTTTATCAAGCACTGAAAAACAGGAATTACAGTTAGGTGAAGTCTTTCTGAAAATGAAAAATAATCTGGACTCTACCCTGTTCAATTGTTATATCTCTCTGGTGTGTCACATTACATGTTTTTTAAATAGATCTTAGTTGTTTTAATGTTGGCCACCTTTTGTCAAATATCTTTCATTCTTGGTATAGGTTGAAGCATACATGAACCAGGATGATAATGTGGAAATGCCCATCTACAATTTACCTTCTAAGATTCTTTGCAAGGTTGTCTATATTCACTTGCAGGTATATCACCTTTCCATGATTTTCCCTTATAGTTTGGTTACTTTTGCCAATGGGTTGATGTATGGGTGGCAAAATATTTTTCTTTATTAATTCACCTATGTATTAATTTTTCTTGGATAAACTTCCTCTTTTTTTTTTTTTCTAATTGTGGTTTGCAGGCTGAAGCTAGTACAGATGAGGTGTTTGCACAAATTACTTTGCTTCCATTTATAAAGGTAGGCAACTGCAATTTTAAATTAGGTCAACATACCATACATGATTGCTATTCTATTTTGTTTTTTCCAAAAAAATTATTCTTTTGAATGACTATACTAGCTATTTAGCTGTGCCTTGAGAGTATAACTTCTATTGCAACTAATTTTGATAAGATTTCCTTAAAGCTGACGAATATTCTCAATTTCCTTTTAGATTTCATTTTGGAGATTCTTGTGATGACTGCAGTACATTATGACAAACTTAGGCACCCAAATGCTTAAGAAATCAAATCTTTAGGAATTTTGTTGTTTTGCATTTTCTGTTTACTAATATCTAAAGGCTCTTATACATTCTGAAGATGTTAAAACTTTGGATCATCGCAGGGAGAGGAGCCTAGTCTGGAGGATGGAACTTCTCTACCTCTCCCTAAGAAAAGTCATGCACGCACCTTCAGCAAGAAACTCACTCCATCTGATACAAGCACTCATGGTGGATTCTCTGTTCCCAAGCGTAAAGCTGACGAATGCTTTCCGCCTCTGGTTGGTATTTATAAAAAAAAATTATTTTGAACCCGCTGCACTTTTAAGAAAAGGATTTTGCACATTGTTGATATTACGCTTTACCCCTGCTCTAATGTTTTGTCCTATTTTATCTGGATGATTTGACATTCTCTTTCTTTTTTAAGTATAGCAAAATATATTTTCATTATGTATCAATCACAGATCAACTTGTTGCAGGACCTGTCTCAGCAACCTCCCGTGCAAGTACTGGTGGCACAGGATTTGCATGGATCAGAATGGTTCTTCCGTCATATATATCGTGGTATTAACTTCAAAACTTGATTATGAAAACAATTAATGTCACAACTTTGTTGTTTTCACTATTGTAGTTTTGGACAAAAGGAAAATTTTTTTGGCATTTCCCTGTAAATGAATCAACAAATGTCCCGAGATAGTTTTTCCAGTGTAAAGTATTCAATTCCATACGGTATGGTAAGGGTTCATTTCTTTTCTTAAAAAAATCCTAATTGTACAATTCTCAAATTTTTCTGTATAAGGACTTGCAAATTTACAGGTCATTTTAATGGTTTTAGGGGCAGTTTTTAGAAGTTATAATCAGAGTCTATGATTTCTGTGTTTGTTTTCTAGCCGATCATATTACCGTTTTTCGTTTTTTCACTTATAAACATAGGTCAGCCAAAGCGACACCTGATTACCAGTGGTTGGAGTACATTTGTGAGTGCCAAGAAGCTTGTTGCTGGGGATGAGTGTATCTTTGTTAGGTTATCTCTGTTTCTTTTTTCTCTCTCCACAAATACAAACACTCACAGTGGATTCTATTCCAAACACTTCATAAACCAATGTAGGAACAAGTGAACCAGCTGAGTTAAATAAAAAAATCTAAATCTCATTAGCTGTTGGTCAATCTTATAAGCTACTAAATCAATGCATGCCTTGTAGTGGAGAGAATGGAGAGCTTAAAGTTGGGTTGCGCCGTGCAGTGAAACCACAATACAGTGCATCAGCATCTGTTCTATCCAGCCACAGCATGCAACATGGCATACTTGCCAGTGCCTTCCATGCCATTTCTACTGGAACCATGTTTACTGTGTATTACCGTCCTTGGTAAGCTAGGACTGTTTATTTTCTACATGTCCTTGTATTTCTAATTGTACTAACTTCATGGGCACATGTGTGATTTACCTTTGAGTAATGAACCTCTATGATTCTATGCAGGACAAGCCCTGCTGAATTTCTAATCCCTTTTGATCAATACATGAGGTCAGCTGAGGTGGATTACTCAATTGGAACGAGATTCAAAATGCAATTTGAAAGTGAAGAATGTTCTGAAAATAGGTGCCCAAAGTGAGTGTTTGCGGTTTATTTATTGAAATTATTTATATGGCCATAGTTCGTACTTTGTAATAACAGATTGTCAATCGGAGGGTTGCCCAGATTGGTGACTGCTAGAATTCAAACACACACCACCCACCCACTCCCACACACACCCACACCCACACCCACACCCACACACACACACACACACACACACACACACACACAGATAAAGAGAATAAAAAAAAAATGAATGTCTTGTTGCTGCTTCTACTAACTAAAAACAATTTCATTGCCAGATTCGCAGGAACGGTAGTTGGAATTGAAGACATTGATCGCATTAGGTGGCCTGGTTCAGAGTGGAGATCTCTTAAGGTAACAACCCTTCATATTTGCAGACGCCAAAATACCTACGGACATGTATATTCATATGAACTGGTTGTATATCTTTCTCTTTCTAGGTGCAATGGGATGCCACGGCAAAAATGCTTGTTCACCCGGAAAGGGTTTCTCCTTGGAGCATCGAACCTATTGGAATCACCAAAAAGAAGTGTAAAGCTATTGTACCCCATCCAAAGAGGGCACGCCCTTTTGACACAAGAGCTGCTGCTCTGGTCAAGGATGGTCAGTAGTCATATGTCCTGTTCTGGGTGGAAAGTTCTTTCTGTGCTGCGTTCAATGCATTATACTGTTATAAGTTATACTTTGCTGTACTTTCTCTACTGTACATGATTGAATTTTCTTTTTAATCATCCTAAAGGTTCAATGAAGAGGTCGGTTGAGTGCCCATCTCAAAGACAATTGGGGGTCTTGCAAGGTCAAGAAATCAGAACTGTAGGTACACAGATACACGGTGAATCAACTCAATCGTCATCGCCACATTTTACGCCACAACCACATCCAGGATGGGGTCAGATGCAACAACTAGGATTGGAGAATCAGCTGCCTTTTCGGATTCATCAGGCATTTCGTCCGCAGCCTGACAACACCATAGCTTTTCCTGGTGGAGCTCCCCCTAATTGGAGGGTTGCAAACTCCTGGTCCTCAACGTTCAGTTCTTGTGGAACTCATAATAACTCTGAAGCAAGTAACGTCAATTCCAACAGCTCTGCATCTCAGGACTGGAAGGCTTCTGAAGAGAAGGACGTGACTGAAGCTGCACGGGTCAAACCAAACGGCAGCAGGAATTGCCTGCTCTTTGGAGTCAATATATGTAATAATCATTCGGAGCTCCCTTCACTACAAATTGAGTCTACGAGTGAGCTAACAAGTCTTTGTTCTGTCCCTCCAGCAGTATCTCAGTTGAGGATTTCTGAAACCATTCACATTTCAGAGAAGTTAGAGAGTATTTCTGCCAGTCTTCCAGAGAAGCCATGTGGTAACTGCTGTTCCCGGACTTGCACAAAGGTACTTTTTTTTTTTTGTGTTTGAAAGCAACTTAATGATGAACCTTGGCTAGTTGGAAATTTTATATTTAGTTTACTTGATGGTCATGTAAGCCACTTCTCAATTTTGCTTACTTGAAATAACTTCACGCTTTAGGATTGTATATTTCATAAAAGCAATTTTAAAAGCAGCATACAATTTTTTTTTTGCCTTTCAGGTAGTGAAGTATGGAACTGCTCTAGGAAGGTCAGTTCACCTGGCGCATTTTGATGGGTATATCGAACTTATTTGTGAGCTCGACAAGATGTTCAACTTCGAGGGAGCACTGCTTGATGGGAGCAGTGATTGGCATGTTACCTACAAAGATGGCGAGGGGAATATGATGCTGCTTGGAGACTTTCCATGGCCGTAAGTGTCATTTAATAAATATATCCGTTGAGAACATCTGTTCATTAGGGGTACGTTTGGGAGTTCGAGCTGCCATTGTTTTGTTCTAATGTGCTAATTGTTTCCAAATGCAGGGTTTTTCAGGTCATGGTGCGAAAGTTGTTCATCTGCCCAAAGGAAGATGTTGATAAGGTGGATCTCAGCTTGTCAAAATAAACACCCTACAAAAAGTTCCTTCTGAAGGTCACTTTCTACTGCTGCTTCTGCACAATTAATGTTTCAGAGGACTCTATACAAGTTTATACTTCCCTACATATATCAGCGAGAGAGTACACATGAAAAATGGTAAACATACTACATATGGTGTTGCGCTTTTATAACTAAAAATGGCTAAATGTGCAGTAAGACAATATTAAGTTGTATTTATGTTTGAATAAATGATACTTTCCTTTCTTGGGTTAGTTGTACCCAATGCACGAGGTTCCACTCATTGGGCGTACAAAATCCCTCCATCGCTAGATGAGTTTGTTTTACAATCGGAAAGATATGATTCTCTAATGTTGGATATTTTGCACGTGTGAGAATCTCATATTAGATCAAAAAATAAGTTGAAGTGTTCTAATATACGCTTTTTGCGGTTATCTACCGCCATTAATATGATGGATAGCACTTGAGTATTCCATTCCGTTTCCATCTTCTATTAAGGTTAGTGCATTACAATATAATTTTTGAACGCAAAAAATTACACAACTCAAATAAAATTAGAAAGTGTAATATCAATGCATATCAACTTTTTGATGATTGTTGGATGAATGAGTTATATTCAGAAGTTGATGAGATCTATTCATCGAATGAATGATATATATCTGAGTTGTAATTTTTAGAATTTTATTTAAATTGTGTAATATTTTTCTTTTTAAGATATTAGTGCCTTGTATATGTGGCAATAGTAAAGGAGCAAAGAGGGAACAAAAAGAAGAGGGGGGGGGGGGGGTTCTCCCATGCTAATTGGCATTGGAAAAGATTGAATTTGAAGATAAAAATAGTATTTTATCCAAAAATTTATTCTTTTATTCACTTAATAATGTACATTTTAATAAATTGAGTAATATGATTTGATATGAATCTATAGACTCCACATATAATTATGTTGCCTACCAACATGGGATTAGATAGGATTTATGATTTAATCCTATGTAAAAATGGATAAGGGATTTGAAGGGGTTTCTTAAATCAATTCAATCACCCCCTCGTGTTGATGTTGTTCATCGAAACATGCCCTTACAGGAAGCTCATGGTCCAATTGTACATAGCGAGCCAACCCGGGCATGATCGATTGGGCCTCAAGCTAAATGGTCAGCCCGTGGGCCGGATGCGTATACGCCAGAGTGATCAGTTAACCCCTTATCCAGACTGACGCTATCACCTTGGCCTCAATTTCCCGCCATCAATCATTTTCAGCTCTTCGAACCACACACGGCCACAACTCAGGGAGAAAAAAATCAGGGGAAGAAATCTAATTATCAGAAGGCATGGGGTCACTAGTTTTCATGGTTCCATCGACAAGTAGTCTAAACAGTCACTTTCGCCGTCATAGTACCCTTACAATTGGTACGCCGGCCGTTAATTTTCCGGCTACATGTCCCGCAATCGGTCCCAGTGGTTTCGCCTCAATTCAAAGACGTCATTGTCATGCAGAACCACTCCGCGATGTAGACCAAGACTCAGAAGTCCCAGTTCAAGACCTTAGGGTGCCAAACCATTGGTTAAACCCTTCTAAAGCCTCGGAGGTATTTTGTGAAAATTTGACGATATCAGCATAATTTGCACTAATATCCTATATTCGATCAGATTTGTAGATAATTCAAGGTTTCTTTTTAGTCCTGGGCAATTCTTAATCAAGCATTAACAAAAGTGGTTTTGTTTTGGCTTGCTTTACTTGTAGATAAACCAAACAAAACTTCCCAATTATTTGGAGGTGGAAATATGAGTTCTTCTTCGTTCTTCATTTTGGTCATATGTTATACACTTATTTCAATTAAATACGGCATAATATTAGCCCATATAACATTATTTGGACTCATCATGTAGACCCGACAAAGTTTTATGTCAATTGTAGACTACCTAATTACTTTAGTTGTAGATCTATGTAAATAATTCTGGAGGAGTAATAGGGTCTCTTGTGAGTTTGTATCAGATGAAGCTTATTAACTGATTATGGTTAGTTTATGATGATCCATTCTTAGTAACTTTAACGAGTGTTTATCTATCAGGTAGGGGTGCAACTCGGGCGAGTTGGACAATCAATCCTAGCCCAACCCTAAGTGTAAAATCTTTAACCCTAACCCTAACCCTAATTCTAACCCTACCTCGAGTTGGAGAACTCAACCCAAGCACTACCTGAGTTTAATTCGGGCGGGCTCAGGTTGAATTTGAGTTACTTTACGGGTTCAATTCGAGTTCAATTCAAGTAGAGCTTAAAATAGGTTTTTTATTCTAAACCTAATACATATATTACATAATATTCACCTAAATTAACAACAAATAACTTCAACCAAGTTTTTAACGAGAGAGGCCGAAAGAACGAGAGAGACAAAGAGAACGAGAGAGACAGAGAACGATAGAATAAAAATGAAAAACCAATGCTAATGCTTATATATATATATATATTTTTTTTTAATTTGTTGGGTTTGGGTTGAACTTGGGTTCACGAGGCCTTAACCCGAGCTCAACCCAAATTAAATTCGGATTGAAATTTTTTGACCTAAACCCAACCCAAGTATTAAAAACCCTTGCCCAAGCCCTAATTTTTTTGGGTTGAAATCGGGTTGTCCAACCCAAGTTGCACCCCTACTATCAGGTAGTTATTATGGCTTTTTTCTATTGTGGGTCTCTTAAGATTAGTTTTGGCGGAGTAATAGTGTATTTGTTTTGTTGTTCATAAATTTTTACTTGAGTTTGTAATTGCTGGAACTGATTTGGGCGTGTTATATGTTGAAGTAAAATAAATACTTAAGTTACACCATCTCTAAAATATTGAAATTTTTGGAGTAGATGATTATTTGACATGGGATTAGAGCATGAGTTTTTGTGTTCGATTCTCGCTGCCACCCTAATTGCTGCCAACATAATTATTAAAAGAGTTTTCACGCGCTTAACACAAAATTTAGTCTGTACGTGAGGGTGTCTGTTGAAGTATAAATATTTAAGTTACACTTTCTTCAATAACTTAAGCTTTTGGAATAGATGGTTGTTTACCATTATATTGATAGATTGTTTGATTTTGTAAGCGGGTGGAGTCCTAGATAGTTACTATGGCTTAAGTTGGGTTCCCCATTAATTAGTGATTAGTTTGAAGAGCCGACCATCAGATTATAGGTTGAGTTCTCATTAAGCTTGTTCGTATTTTCTCTATGTAGACAGTGAATTGAGAATGAATCATTTTGGCAGTTTTTAGATTTGCTTCCTTTGAAAATGTCATGGTTTCTGAATTGAACCTAAACGAGGTTATCTGTACTTGAAGTGTTTTTTGTCCTCCTTTATTGCCTTTTTCCCTGCAATAGATAATGACTCTGCTAGAGGTTAAAGGTCAAACATATGAAAGGATGTAAGCAAAAACTTGATTTCATGCTTACTATGGAAAAAAAGAAACCATACATAACTCTTAAATCTGATCAATGTCTATGCGATGGATGTAGACTTCATTTATGAGAAATATAGCCTCGTGTGAATAGGAAAAAGGAAGTGTTAAATGTATAATGTTTGGTGATTTAAGTGTCAATATTGATATGAAGTGAGCATATTTCATTAAAGGGAAATGTCACATTGTAAGTAAACCAGAGAAAATCAAAATTGTTCAACAAACATGGGAGAGTAAAAATCAAGTCATCATGGAACTCTGAGCAGAAACAATGACAGAAGTAGATTTCCTTGTAATATCACATCCTGGGACTTCAACAACGAGGTTGTGGGTAAGAATCCTAGGGCTGCTGTTTTGTGCAAAGAATGTTAAAGGATGAGTCTCTATACTCAAATTACCCCTCCAACTCTCTTGGATAGCAGGGTTCAAACAATATAAAGATGATCACATTTTGAAAAAAGTTGAGAAAGCAGTAATCATGCAAGTAGATAAGAGATCAATGTATTTGGAATCATGGAAGCATCCTGCAATTTTATTAGTAAATGATCAGTGTGAAGATGGTGGATATTGACCTCACAATTATGGGAGATTTTACACATTTTAAATGATAGAGTGGAAGCTAATCTAATTTATGGAACTCGAGCATGATCAAAGACTGTCCAAAGCTTGTTAAGCAAAAAGAAGACTTCATAGCCGAGAAAGATCACATCTCCAGGAAAGAAGAGAATAGTGATAGTTATTGGTAGCCCAATGTATTCACTAATTGCATTTGTCCTATTTTTTAAAAATATGGGTTTTTTTTTTTTTTTTTCTGATTAATTACTCCGAATTGCTGTTATTTAAGCATATGTTTCATTCTGGTTAACTTCAGTTGCCCTATGAATCAAAACTTGTGTTTGCAAGGTTGAGTCAAACTCAATTAGGGATCTCAGTGGGACTCTTATTGTATTAACCTTGAAGGCAGGGGTGATTTTAGTGGGTGTGGAATGATAGGTTGTAGTGGAAATCCCTGGAGTCATTTGGGCTGTTATTGGAAGATATAAAATGGTTGGTGTTATGTTGCCTTATGACATTGTTTATGTCCTAAGTAGATATCCTATTCTGGAGTCCATTGTGGGTATTTGGCACAGAAGAGAGACATGTACGAGTCAAAGGGGTGCAAATTAAGTGTAGAGCCCCCCGTATATATAACCAATGAAAGTTACAATAAGGATAAAAAGGTAAAAAAAAAAAAATTTAATAAACCCTAATAAACTAAGGTGCTATATCTCCAACACTCTCTCTCAAGTTAGACGCAAAAATGTCAACTAAGTCAAGCTTGACAATTGAGTCCCGAAGAATGGATAGAGTGACAGGTTTGGTGAAAACATCTAAAACCTGATCACTAGTCCCCACAAACAATGGAGTGACAATACCACTGCTAACCTTCTCCCGAAGAAGGTGAATATTGATCTCTATATGCTTCGTCCTCTCGTATAATACAGAGTCAGAAGCGAGCTGAATAGCAGATCGATTATCACAATATAATGTAGATGAAGAAGTCATTGGAAGTCCCAAGTCGCCAAGAATCGATCGTAGTCAGATAATCTCACATGTGCCAAGTGCCAGTGCCCGATACTCTGCCTATGCTGACTAGCGAGAGACAATTGACTGCTTCTTACTCTTTCAAGAGATAAGATGAGTCCCTCGAAAAGAACAGAAGCCCGTAATAGGTCGATCGTTACATGTTCCCCTATAATCTGAATCTGAATAACAGGCTAGAGAACCAATCTGAGATCCTGATGCATAAAACAACCCAAGTCCAGGACAAGACTTGAGGTACCGAAGAATATGATAAACTGCATCAAGATGAGGCTGACATAGTCTGTGCATGGACTGATTAACTCGGCTGACAGCGAATGAAATGTCTGGCCTAGTGTTGGCTAGGTAGATAAGTCTACCTACCAACCTCTGATAGACAATTGGATCTCCCAACTCTTCATCTTCAGCAGTAAGCTTCAGGTTTAGAATCATGAGTTATGATGCCGGTTTGCACCCTAGCATCCCAGTATCTGAGAGAAGATCCAGAACATACTTTCTCTGAAAAAGAATAATGTCTCTGCTGCTACGGGTAACCTCAATCCTAAGAAAGTATCGCAAAAATCTAAGATCTTTCACATCAAAGGCTTTTCCAAGATCTACCTTAACCTGCGCAGTCCCCAAAACATTATCTCCAGTAATAATAATATCATCAACATATACCAAAAGAATGACACACTGTCTAGAAGTATTCCGTCGAATAAAGTAGGTATGATCAGAATGACATCTAGTGAACCCTAAACGTACAACTTCATCACTAAATCGAGAGAACCATCCTCGTGGTGACTGTTTTAGTCCATAAAGAGACTTACGCAGTCGACAAATCTTTCCAGCATACTCCCCCTCACCATGAAATTCCGGTGGTGTATCTATACATATAATCTCGTCCAGATCACCGTGAAGAAATGCATTTTTCACATACAACTAATGAAGAGGCCAAGAGTATTCCGCAGCCAGAGAAATAATCAGTCGAACAGTAGTCAATTTTGCCACGGGGGCAAAGGTAGCACCAAAATCACAACTTGGTCCCTGAGTAAAACCCTTTGCACAAGCCTAACCTTGTGACGATCAATAGTACTATCCGCATAAAACTTCAAGTTGTAAACCCAGCGACAGCCAACAGGCTTCACCCCTGAAGGTAAAGAGATAAGATCCCATGTATAATTACGCTGAAGAGCGTCCATCTCTGTCTACCTGGCAAGAATACACTGGGGCTCCCGCATAGCCTTTGAAACAGAGCGAGGAACCGGCGTATATGATAAGACCATACTATAAGCTCGAAATGTAGGAGACAGATCACCATAAGAAACATAAACAGAGATTGGATATAAAAGCTTGGCGGTTCAACCATAACGAACAACTGGACGACGATCACACCGCGGATAACGATGCCCTAAATCATCATCCTCCACTGATAATGTCTCATTAGGTAAAACAATTGGCTCAGTACTAGTACCTGCAATCTCATCAGTACTAACAACATGTGCATCAATATGCTCAACCAACTGAGAAATATTACTTGCATCTCCTGAGGTAGAAGGGATATCAGCAGAGGAATGAAAGTGAGGACGACAAACATAAACCTGCAAAGGAAGAGAGATTGGTGACTCTGTACTGACAGGGATGAATGACTCTGGAGGGTGAGAGACCGATGAATCTGTAGTGATAGTGACCAATGACTCTGACTCCGATGGTAATGAAAAATCAAAGGGAGTATCATCAATTGGAAAGACAAACACAGGATTGGAAGAAAAATAGGAAATATGCTAAAGGAAGGTAACATCTAGACTGTGATACATACGTCGCCTGATAGGATCATAACATCGATACCCCTTAGATTGATGACAATAGCCCACAAAGACACAACGAATCGCTTTATCATCAAGTTTATGATAAGTAGGAGACTGATTCTGAACAAAACATATGCAGCCAAAAACACGAGGGGGATCGAAAAAAGTGTCCGCTCAGGGAATAAGACCTATAAGAGAGCCCTATGCTGAAGAACACGACTTGGTATACGATTGCACAAAAAGGTAGAAGTCAAAACAGCAAAATGCCAATAAGATTTTGGTACTCCCATACCTCTAAGCATATAACGTACCATCTCTATCAGACTCCTATTTTTCCTTTCAGCAACTCCATTTTGCTCAGAAGTATGTGGATAAGTGAGCTGCTAAATGATACCCTAAGAAGAAAAGTGAGACACTAAGACATCAGACACATATTCTTTGACATTATCTGAATGAAGAGCACGAACAATGACATCGAACTGTGTCTTAATCATCTAAAGAAATTGAGTACTGACAGGGAGTACATCAGACTATCTATGCAAAAGGTAGACCCAAGTACAACAGGTATGGTCATCTATAAATGTCACATAGTATCGGGCATCTGACAGAACAGTAACAGGAGAGGGTCCCCAATTATCCGAGTGTATTAGGTCAAATGGTTTGGATGACTGGTGCATGCGAGGAATATAATTGGTCCGGACATATTTTGATAGGGAACATATAACACAATCAAGTTTACCGCTAACACAAACTTTGCTCAAAGCAGGAAATAACATACATAAATATTTAAAATTTGTATGCCCAAAACGGTCATGCCAGAACTGCACAGTTTGTGATGAAAAATTATAATGACAAGTATTAGGTAAAATATTAGCATGTAAGCTAGGAACAGATAAAGACAAAACAGGTGATGAAGGTGGAGGTGGAGAAACTGGTGAAACGGGAGGTGGATCGCCTAAATAATACAATTCATTTCTTTCATGTCCCCTAATAATAATCCTTTTGGTACTCAGGTCCTGCAAATAACACGAATCAGATAAGAACACAACGGCACAGTGAAAATCTCTGGCTAACTGATGTACAAATAATAGATTCATGGCAAACTTTGGCGCATGAAACACCAAACGTAATGTAAAGTCATCTGGAAGCCGGACTGTACCCCTACTAACAATAGGGGCATGTGTACCATCTACTAACTAAACTTGAGAATATAACTGTTCGTCAAAAGAGGTGAAATGATGGGCCTCACCTGTCATATGATCATTAGCACCCGAGTCCAGCATTCAAAGAGGAGACGGATTGGCGTAAGTATGAAAGACACGAGGTATATCTGCAGTAATGGCAGCAGTAGTAGTCGAACCGTGATAAGTCAAGACTGACATAAGTATATCCAAGCGAGAAATGATAACATCCATATCACTCTGCCAAGGAAGAGCAGTAGCAGGAGCAATGACTGTAGGTGGTGGTGCCTTAGCAATGGTAGCAGTACGGCTGTGAGGAGGCGGCTTAAGCTCCTGATGGAGCTTCCAACAAGTAGCCCTGAGATGTCCTAGTCGGTTACAATAATCACACTGACGAGAATCCCCATATCTACGCTGATGTGGGGTACCCTGACGGCGTTGGCCCGACCGCTGTCGACTCCTATACCCAGTGGAAATACTAACAAATGTCTCAACACTAGGGATCTCAACTCCCTCAGTAGTAGTCATTTCATCAATAATACTAGGGCACTCGTGACAGAAAAAATAACTCTAAGATAAATAGATAGATAAAATAAGGGAGAACAATATACCTCCAGTCGAACAGTAGCGATAGATAAAGAAGGTTCAGAAAGCTCCCAAATAATCAGGTCACGGTGCCTAAAAATCCAGTAAATATAAATAAATGATCTACTGCATCAAGAGCAGATCAACGAAGAAGAGAAATTAACCCCTCTTAAAAGGTCATACGGTCCCGAATAATTAGGCGCACGAAGGCATAACTCGAAGCTGTGAACACGACCCAGCAGTAGGCTGGTCCACTGGAGTGGGTACTCTGTTGGGATTGGACTGGGTTTGGGATTGGACTGGACTGGATATGGGTATGGACTGGACTTGACTATGTAGGTACTGGATTGGACTGGTTTATATAGGTACTGGATTGGATTATGTAGGTACTGGGTTTGGTTGGCTTGAGAGGCAGTCACTGCTTTGTGATTTTTGTTTTTTTTTTTGGCTGGGTTTGTCGATGATGTTTCTGGTTTGTAACCGACAGTGGGCTGTCGCTGGGGGACTGGATGGCTGGTGGTAGGGAAGGTGATGAAGGCAAGTTAGGATTAGGGTTAGAGATGGAGGTTAGGCTCTGATACCAAGAAGAGAGATATGTATGAGTCAAAAGGATACAAACTAAGTGTAGAATCCCCGTATATATAGTCAATCAAAGTTACAATAAGGATAAAAAGGTAAAAAAGTAAAAAAGGGAAAACTTAATAAACCATAATAAACTAAGCTGCTATATCTCCAACAGGCACAAAAAAAAAACACTATGACCACCCGAAACACAAACATAAAAGACGCAAAGTATCAAACACTGCAAAAAGATAGTCAGCCTATTACTTACTCCCCTGGAGGGAAAAAAAAAATTGTCCAGCTGGTTGTTCCATTAATTTTCCATCCTTTGAGGATCAATAGTCGAGTTCTGTTGCTCCTCATTGACGAGCTGTCTGATTTGAATGTTGACATTTGTTGATTCCAGAAAATGAAGCATTTTAAACATAATGAGATCTTCCTCCAGCTAACTTTGAATTTTGAGCAATCTACATTTTAATTTGGAAGGAAACATAATAGCCAGTTATGCTGTTGTAAAATTAGTTGTTTTGTTGGATGATCTAGAAGTATCACATATCCTTACCTCTATCATGTGAATAACTATATATAACAGAAAAAAACAAATTATTTCTTCTTCTTCTTCTACCAGCCCATGTTTATGTTGTAGCAGTTTGTGGTGCGGGCTTCAAAGGCACTCGGTTCCTTCGTCTTAACTCAAGTTCAGTTTACTTTTACAATTCGGAACTCTTTGTTGAGTTAATAGCGAGATCTATTTTTTGTTCGAGGTTTCTCTAGCAACTCAATTGTAATCATTATATGTAAAGGGCTCAATTGTTTTCAGCATTGATGCAGGAATCAGAGTGGCTAAGAGTAACTCTGCACAAATGGTTGGATGATGAGTACTGTCCTGAGGCAACCAATGTAGAAATCAGCAAGGTTGCTGCCCACTCATACTACAAATCTTTGGTGGAGAAACAAACTGATTTGGGTGAGATTTTATTGAAAATGGCTGGAGAACTGGAATCTATCTCCTACCAAGAAAGCTTTCACGGAGCATTCTCATCGGCAAATGCAGCAGTAAATTTGATAATCCAAAGGATAGAGGACTAATTGCTTGACCATGCACAAGGTTTGTAATTATTTACCGGCTACATGATTTGCATGATTTTTTTTTTCAGTTTTTTCAGTTTTCTGTTTAGTCTTTACTTAGTAAAACTCTCTTCACAAAGCGTTATATCAAACGGGGTGTTAGTATGGGTGCAACTCGGCCGAGTTGGGTAAGTTAGAGGATCAACCAGGTCCAACCCAAGTTGTAAAATTTTTAAGAGAAATTTGGAGGGCAATTCTCCTATATGAACTTATTTTGAGATAAGTCCGTCAAAAAAATTTATTTTATTTTAAGTTCATTTTTATCAATTTTATTATTGTAACCCTTCCCGTAAGAATGTTATAAACGTCGATTATGGACATAATAATCAGTCATATACATCTCCTTCATAATCGCCTTCAAATTCGGCTACAAATTTTCCAAGCCACAATGTTTATTTATTCGAAAAACAAGAAACCGGTATTTACCAGAAACTGCTCATATTCAAATTTTAAATTCATTACATTTCATGAAATACAATTTCAATTTACTATTTCAGTTTATTTTGGACTCCATTGACAAAATATTAATATTGAATATTAATATTTAAAAAATAACAATAGTAACGTACTCAATAAAGACAATAATATGATCACTAAAAAAATAGTAACATGCTTACAAAAAATAATAACAATTAGAGATTTAATTCTGTTAAAGTGAGCATTAACTTTGTAATCAAAATTCAAAAGAACTCATACATCAGTATTAAATTAAAGTATTATAAAATTCGATTTTGTTGATTTTTTTGTTGTGCAAGACAATCTAATATTCCTTGGTTATGTTACAGTGAAAAAAGTTCATGTTACTGTACGTGAACAAAAAAATAAAGTTCAGAATTTTAATGCCTTGATGTTCACAATTGGTGTTGAGTATCTTAATTCAACTGTCGATTGTGTGTTACTACTTGTCATTTTGTAAATTTTTAATTTGTAAATTGTATTTTCACTAAAATCATTCGAAAGTTGATGTTATTATAAAAAAACTATTGTTTTTTATTTTGTAAAATTAGATGTATTACTGAGCACAAAGTTTTGATGTTACTGTGAATATTAAAGTGTATGTTACATAATATACGTCTCAAAATTTGTAATTAGATATTAAAATTCACTATAGTAACATTAGTATCAGTATAGTAACACGACTATACTGATAACACAATCTTAATTGTAACTTCAATTGTATAGTAACATAAATGTTATTATATATTAACATTCATGTTACTGAACTCTGTCGGCATTGTTCAACCGCTCTATATTATGCATTACTGTTGTTAAGGAAATTTTGTGATCTAATTTTGACTTAATAGACTAATAATTTATTCGTATATTAAGTTTCTCATATATAACTATCATAATATATAACTTTCATATAAAACTTTTGTTAATTATCATAATATTTAATAAACGGTTTACATATATAATTCAATCAAAGATTTTCATATATACATTAATGATCTAACTTATGTGACTTTCCATAACTAGACAAAACTAAAATCGTTAGACATAATTTTGAGATTTAAAAAATAAGTGAACTTAAGTACCTACATATAAGTTTAAATATGAATTTATCCCCAAATAAGTTTCTTTTCAGGATTCAAGTCATTATAAATTCATCTAGGGAGATTTACCCTCAATTTTCACAATTTTCAACTCTAATTCAACCAGAACTCGACTCTAATCCGAGGTACTAAACTCGAGGATACCCAAGTTAATTCTAGGCTTAAATCGGGCTCGTAATTCGGGTTAAATTTCAACCATGACAAAATAACTTGACCAACTTAAACTCAAAATAAATACAATAAAAATCTAAAATATACTTAAATTTTGTGTAAATATTTGTTTTTATTATGGGCTGTGAACTCGAATTGTGAATTCGGGTTTAATTTGGATTGAATCTGATTTTAGTAATTTGGGTCGAACTTGTGAAACCAAACCATCAACTCGAGTATGACTTAAATTTAATTCGGGTTGAGGTTTTTCAATTTAAAACTAACCTAAGTTTTAAAAACTATAACTCAAGTCTTATTTTTTCGAACTAAATTTGAGTTAGTTCGCTTAAGTTATACCAGGAAATCGTCTGGTTTGACAAATGCTTCGACCAAAGTGATGATCGAGTCCTTCGGTAAGGTGTGTAGGAACTTTTATCTAAAAAAGAGGGGTAAACATGTCTATTTGCTTGGTAAACCTGTCGGGAAAGATTGTAACCCACGGGAGAGGTGGGTTACATTTAACCCATATAATTTGGGTAAAAATTACTGTAACATTTGAGTCAAGGTTTGACCCAGAATTTATATCCCCACTCAATTTTCAGTTGCCAAACACAAGATTTATGGGACCCATTGTATTATGAGTGTTGACCCACGTTAACCCACTGCTTAAAAACACCCTAACTGTTGTTAAGTATGGGAGGATTTCGTTTTACATTTCTTTGGCAAGATCTTTTAGAGTTGCTGGACTGGGGTCCTGGGTGCCATTTAATCCTCTCGTGTGCCTTTAAGATTTCTTGATTGCAGAAAATTTCATTATTTGTCAGATTGAGAACCTCACACCTAGAGAGGAGGAGAGAGAAGATCCGCCGGGGCTTGGACTAGGGATAATAATGTGTTGAGTCGTGTTATTTTAGATTCGTGCTCAATATCGGTTAACTTTAACTAAAAGTGTCAAATGTGTCGAGTTAGGTCATTTTGTATTAGATTGATTTTGAGTTTGTGTTAAAAATTCCAAAATTCGAACTTGACATGATTAATAATCGTATCGAGATTGTAAACATTAACTTGACCTGACTATTAAACGAATTACTCGAACTCGACTTATTTGACACATTTAATAAACATGTTGTTTTTGGATTAGCACATATGTTATTTTGATCTGTTTAGTACACATAATACAGACATGTTTAACACACATAACCTGTTTTTACACTTATTCATTGTCATTAAATACATTATTCAATCATTCATCCAAAATTTTAAATAAATTTTTTTTACAAATAACATATCACATCTTATCAATAAAATTAATTAAATTGCATTCAAGTTTCAACTCAAAAACTAAAGTAAGAACTATATTAGTACACTGTCATAATATATCGCTAATTACCATAATAGAAGTAAGAACTAATAAGTAATAATGTTAAGACCATATCAGTCATACATAATACTCAAATTATATAGTCCTAAACGGATTTACAATAAGTTGGGTCGGGTTCATGTTCGAATTATGTCAACCCGTTTAAGATATACGGGTTAACCTGATTTTGACATGAATTTAATCTAATATTTTTTTTTGTGTTGATCCGTTTTAACTCATTAACTCGTTTAATTTTGTGTTCGACCTATTAATTTCGTGTTCAGTTCATATCGTATTAACGTGTTGTGCCGAAAATTGACAGTCTTAACTTTAACCCAACTTATTTAATTAATTATGTTGTGTCTTGTCAATTTATTTATTTTTTGTCGTGTTCATATTAACCAATATAATCTATCAATAAAAAATTTAATGATCAGTTTTATGTCTAAAATTGTATTATCACTTAATTGAATATATGTGCATACTTCTTCTATAAACTAAAAATTAACTTAATAAATATAATAAAAAAATTAATATTTTATTCTTATAATACTATTTAAATATATTAAACGTGTTAATTTTGTATTATTCGTGTTTAATATCAACTCAATTAATTTATTATTCATATTAACTAGTCATTTTGGATTTGAGTCAAGAAATAATTAATGTGTCAAAAATTAGACTGAACTCTAGGTTTGGTTGGTAAGATTATTTTGGAGATATAAAAAGTAGTTTGTGATATATTATAAATCATAAGATATATTATTGCTGTAAGTTTTATTGATTGGATTCACGTGGCTCGACCTTATTAGCTATCTATCTATGTCTGTGTCATACAACCACTTTTTGATCTTGGGGCCATAACATTTATTGGTTAAATGCAAGGCGTAGTATAGTATAGAAGAGAGTGCCCTTTCATTGAAATCTCCATCGTGGTAGATCAATCATATTCAGCTAATTTTCCAATCTGTCACTCAACAGAAATTCACACCTACGGTTGATTGCAATCGAACCCATCTCTTAACCATGCCATTCCTTTTTTATTTGAAAATGTGTGGCTTTAAGGTTTTACTCAAAAGTAAATCCAAATCTTATGCTGTTAATTTTTTTTATAATAAGAGTCTTGTTCTTTAAAATAATATTATTTTACAATAAAACGATATCATTTTATTAAATAGGACGATGTGATTTTAGCGAAATCCGGACTCAAGGGTACACTCGTTGCAAAATTTCTAGGTTAGCCATGGAAGTCTATATATATTCTCTTAGTCTTATCATGTGAATAACTTTAACTTTGTATTTTTATGTTGAAAATAACACGAGGAAGGGTTTTTATTAGAAGGTTTTAAGAGCTTGTTAACTTGAGATTTTAGGTAATTAATTTCTCATTTAAAAAAGTAGCTATTTGTCTGATAGGTACTTGTATACATCTACAGTTCATGCTGTGATTATGGGTCTAAATAATTGATTTCTGGTCATTAAAAGAAAAGAAAAAATGACTTGTTGTTTGAAAGGGGTGTCATGATATTTGCAAGCCATAACAAGTGGGTAAGCTCTAAAGTTGCACATAAATTTGCAAATTATATATATATATATATATATATACATACACACGCACTAGGATAAAATTCAAACACACTTCTATTTTATTATATAGATATAATAAAACACATAGTAATTTAAATTTTTATCCCTCACTTATTTTTCTCTTTAAGAACATCACATCACTCATTTTCATCGCATGTTTATTCATTTATATATTTTTTCCTAAAAATATCAAATCACTCATTTCTATCAAATGTTTAATCATTTAATATTTGATTAATTTATAGTTGATATAATTTTTATTTCCAACTTTTTTTTATATACGATAGTATACACTTGTTAAAAAAATTTAATATAGTAAAATCAATTTTTTGAGCACTCGAATTATCGTGCCTTCAGGCACAGATTATGACTAGTATATATATATTTTATTTTTTGTATTTTTAGTTTTTCAAACAACTTTTTTTTTTCCAAATAATTGAGCATAGGACCTACTCCAGTCACGTTATGAGATAGAAATGGAGGTGATAGTAGTATAATCATGGCCCCAAGGCTCACGGCGCAACATTTGAATATCTCTCTTTTTCTGCCCCTTTATTTTTAGGTACTACATGTTCCTCCCACAAGGGGCATGGAAATATTTGGTTGTTTCAGGATACTGAAAGTCTCGGGATTAATACCTTAATTATGATCTAAAGTTTACTGTAATTTTAATTCTGATTATCAAAATGAGTAGATTCCCGTGGCCTGAACCCTGGTGTTCTCTCTCTCTCTCTCTCTCTCTCTCTCTCGATATGATTATTAGTACTCGTGCTCCGATTTTCAATGAGAACTAATGTTATTAGGGCGTGACATATAGTTTGAATTAAAATGTCTTAATATCATATATAAACAAAGTATTATTGTACTAAATAGGTGAGTAGAGCTGTAAAAAAAGAAAAGACTACAGTTGAACCAATGTCAATAGAATAGACTATCGTGAACATTAGTTCTGAGCAAGATGAAATATTACGTTCGAATAATTATAAACTCTAATCTCCTAAAAGTCGTAGGACTTTTGGATCACCTATTGGAAAACTTGAAATCAGCCCCCACCATGGTTCCAACCACAACAAATTTATGTTGAATCTATTTGTAAATTTACCGTACAAGATTAATATAGTAATGGAATAAGATAATAGGAAATGTAAATATTTTATAATGATTTCATTGGCCAGTTAAGCGAGGTTGAAAATTATGGTCCCATTGAGGATGTTGATCCAAACCCACCCCGACAACACCCACCCGGCAATTAGCTATAATTGAATGATGTTACAATTGAACAAGAATACCCAAATTTTGTACACCTCTTTTAATTATTGATATGACAGCATCTCATCACACCATTTAATAGTAAGAAAACTTTATCCAATTAGAACCCACAAAGTTTTTTTCTTATTTTTTATTGTTATTTCGTTAATAAAAAAAAACATATAAAATATATATTTGTATAACATTATTATTCCCTCCACCTACCTGTTGAATGATGTGGGTCCTGCCATGTTAGCTTATTTTTATAGGTTCGCAATGAATTTAAAAATTATAATAAATTAATTTTAAATAACATTGGTTCATTGAAAAAGATGAAACTTTCACCGAGTAATTTAATTCAATTAGTGCAATCCGAGGATGTTACAGGGGGCTCGCGCTTATATAAGGAAGCTTGGCCATAGTGTATGCTTTAAAGTATCATAAATTTTACACACACACGCACACTCTCTCTCTCTCTCTCAAACATACACACAGACAGAACAGGAAGCTGCAACACATGGGTTTGAAGAGCGACCTCATAATGTGTGCCATATTAGAAGCTGAAACCATGGAAGAAATGGTGTCTTCCATGGAGAAAGCAAAGGAGGAAGGGGCAGATTTAGTTGAACTCTGCATAGACTCTATGTCCTTTTCCCAAATTTCGGAGGTCGAAGGTCTCCTTAAAAAAAGACCTCTCCCAGCAATCGTCTCTTTCAGGTACTCTCTTCTTTATTTCTTTTTACGAAGAATACATTTTTTAAAACCTAATCTCATAAATTGTCGAGACTCAAGTTCAATCAAACTTTCGTACAAGTTAGTTCATTGAACACATAGATGTGGCTGCATAGTGACTTCATTCAGTTTTTTTTTTTAAAAAATATTAGTTGAGATATGTATAAATTGTTCTAATCCCGACTTATCATTGAAAAAAGAAAAAAAAAACAATTAAACATTTAATCCAATGAAAAAGGAAAAAAAAAACAGTTAAACATTTAATCCAATGGATACTACTTAAATGTACGATTCAATATCATGGCGTCATTGTGAAGAAATCGAGGAAATTGTTAGAGAGGGACAGAGGGAGAGGTGGGTGGTGGGGGCAGATGGGGGAGTAAGGTTTTTCTGCAACACCACGTGAGCTGCTTACACGAATGGTAGATAGACCACATCAAGCCTGGGGTATGAAACAAGACACGAGTGGTAAGTGGAGCTGAGCCAATGGTTCTTTGAACCTTTCATTAAATGGAATTAAGTTACTATGCATGTCTTTAATTAATGGAAAATGTTACTGGGATTTATTTTGAGAATCGATTAAAATTAGACTCCATCTAATATTCGAATTAAAGGTGTCCGTCAACCAGGTTGAGTTAAACAGTTATGAGTCGGATTTAATTTAATTCGGGTGAAAAACCAATAAACTCGTACACAATTTATTTAAGTAAACAAATGAAAAATTTTAAATTGAACACGATTCATTTATTAAGTAAGTTATACGATACGTCTTGTTTAATAAACAAATCAGGTTGAGTAATATCAGGTTAATACGATAGTTCTTTTAACCCACCATCTGTTTGAACCCATTGTTATTAAAAATGTACAAAAAAAGTTGTGTAAAGCTTGATACCAATTGTGTAACCCACCATTTCAAGTGGTTGCAAAGCTTGATACCAATTGGAGTGCTTTCATGTCACGAAATTAACCAATCACACAACCACGTTGGGTCCTCAAAAATTAAGTGCTGATTAGAGGCATTAATAATTACAGTAATGCTACTCAATTACAATGACGTCATGTCATTTGGGATGGGTATTTGATCCGTATAATATTACTAAATTAATCAAATTTGATATGCCACCGATTAGGGTGATTTAGTTGTTATTTAAAGGTTAGTTAGGAGTACAAGTCCTGAAATATCAGTCTAGCTAACTCTGGCGGTCTGGAGTGCTATAATCCCACCAGTCAAGCCTTAACTGGGCGGGCGATAGTTGGACACCCTTCTTTGTCCCGTACTTTTCTTTTTTAATAACCTGCAAAGAAAAAATCAAATTTGATACCGAGAGGATTCGAATTCAATTTTTTTTGTATTTTTTTTTTTCATATTTGGGCATATCTGGGACCAAATTCACCGATTATATTTTGCAGAGGCGGATCCAAGGAGATATGCTTGCAAGTTCTCCGGCTCGCCCTAGAATTGGATGTCGAATTCATCGAAATCGAGCTCGAGGTTAGTCATCTAATGCATCTCTCTCTCTCCCTCTCTCCCCCCCCCCCCCCACTGCTAAGACTGAAACATGACATTGAAGTTGTAAAATTACAAATCAGATGCGAAGCTATGAAAGAAACAGTTGCACATTCTGAAGTTCATTTTAACACATGCTTTATAGCTGTTAAGAAATTATCACTAATGACAATGAAATTATTCGAGAGGTAAAAAGAAATTCGGTAACAATGTAACTGAAAGAAGTAAGACTACTCTCCTTCTGTTCACCTTTCTCCCTTTTACATACTGTTTTATTCTCAGTCTTAACGAGACCCTATTAATAATTTGTCTATTGCTATATTTTATTTTTAATTATTATAATTTTTTATATTGATCAAGTTTTTATATTCAAGTGTTGATAATAATTTTTTCTAATAGATAATATTGTTAATTCATTCACTCTTTAGTTGATTGTAAATAAAATTTCATCAATTTAAGTTTTCAACAAATAATTTAATAATAGAATATGTGAGTAAAGAATAATTTTAAGATAACAAAGAATCATTTTTTATCCATGAAGAATGTGCACGCATGAAGTACAAAATTTTAATAACATAGACAATTTAAGTATAAATTATTTGGAATGAAAATTTATAATAAGACAAAAAATGAACCAATTTTATAGATTTTAATGACAAGGAATAATGAATATAAATTTTTTATGTGAGTGAGTGATATACAACTATGAACACACCAAAAATATTTAGAAAAATTTAAATCAAAGCTCACACAAAGGAGTAATTTTGGACCCAAAAAAATTAGATATTGATTTGAACTATAAAAATTTGAGCCCTAAAAATTTGAATCATAGCTAAAATACAAAAAATAAAAATAGAAAAAACTATTATACTAAAGTGATAAATTTTATGGAGACCTCTAAAATTTGGGCTTAACCAAGTAGAGAGTAATTTTTGAACATAATAAAATTAGATACTGATTTGAACTAATAAAATTTGGCCCTAAAATATAAAATAAAATAAAAAAAATTAGGCCTACTATACTAAAAGGATAAATATTGTGAGGACCTCTAAAATTTGAGGCCCTAGGCAAGTAACTTAGTTGCCTAAGGGCTGGGCTGGCCCTGAGTCTTAGAGAAAAGAGTCTATTTTGTAAATTTTTTTGGAAATTATCTTGATGGTACTATACCACACTATCGATTTTCGTATACACTAAGCTGATCTCGATGTCATTTCATATGTTCACTCGAGCAAATGCAAAGTTTATGATCTATCACCATAAGCTGAAGATTTCTAGGATAAATTAATGCCAGAGAAGTGATTGTATGGCCATTTGCCAAAGCTATTACTGTAATATCCACCTTTTAAAGCAAAGTGATTTCTTTTATTAATATCTGGTACTTGTAAGCTGAAAAATAAACACAAAAAGAGATGTGACAAGGACAAATTTTTGAAATACCAGAAATGCGTCAATCACTTAAACTTGAAACGGAAAGAAATGTGAATTTTGGGTTTTCATGAAGAGTGGCATTGATCGACAATTCACATTGCTAACCTCAAACATTACCATCTTCCTTTTGGCTCTTAAATTGTTGCTAAGCATTTAACATATAGCCATCCTGCAAACTAAAATCCAATTCCATTTACTTCTTTCTGGAAAACATGGAACTTTCAGGTGGCCTCTAATGTTGTCATGACTGAGCTTATGAACAAGCGGTCAAATAGCAAGCTAATTGTGTCGAGCTATGTAAATGGCGGGACGCCTTCTAAAGAGAAACTTGGTGACCTGATTACATGCTTGCAATCCACAGGGGCAGATGCCATCAAACTTGTGGTTGATGTCATTTATATTACAGACGTTGCGCCAGTTTTCCATATGCTTACCCATTGTCAGGTACTTGCCATATATTGGGAACTTAGCCCATTTGCTATGTTGGTATGCCCCAAATAATGTTCACTCTTGTTCAACTTTACAAGGCCCTATTGCCGCTTTCTTATTAAATGTTACATGGTTTTTAGAAAATCCAGTTTTGGTATAAATGCAAAATCAAATTGCATTTATTATCCACCATATTACTCTTTTCACAACATTGTGCCAAAATTCATTTGATCAAGTGATTGGTAATCCATCATTGGGACATCTAGCATGGTGAAAATGATATTATTTGTTCCTTTTTTACCCTTTTACATTTATTGATTCCTTCCATTTCTTTTTGTGAGTTGAATGGTACAATATTTCAGTGCACTTTACTTGGTGCTGGTCTACCTGCAGATGCCACTAATAGCAAGAGCTATGGGAGATAGAGGCCTTATAAGCCAGTTATTGGGTCCTAAATATGGTGCTTTTTTGGTCTGTGGAACTTTGGGAGGCAAATCCATACCTGGCTTGCCACCTCTAGCTAGCATAAAACAAGTGTACAAGCTTGAACATATGGATTCAGATACAAAAGTTTTTGGTGTTGTCTCAAATCCAGTAGGCCATAGCAAAGGCCCTCTTCTGCATAATCCTGCCTTTGGACATACAAAATATAATGGAATTTATGTGCCATTTCTCGTGGATAATGTCAAGGAATTCTTCAGGGTGTATTCATGCAATGACTTTGCAGGTTTCAGGTATGCAGCATTCTCTAAATGGAGGAAAACAGGAGAAATAATTTGGCTCGTGTAGTTATGTTTGTATAAGATAGCCGATCTCAAATAATTGGGTTTGGGAGTAAGACTTGGTTGACTTGACTTGATTTTTTGTACTTACAGATTGTCCGTAGTTTCGCTGGTCTTGTATGTCAATAGTTGCCATTGAGTAATTTTTGGAAGAGCTTGTTGCTGCAACTTGTGTCTCGGACTGATACATGTAGACAACATAATTAAAAGCTTAACAATTCTTATATGGGTTGACAATGAATTTCTTTTTTCAAGTTCTCCTCCTCTCCGGCTCCTGCACTTGCATCCATATTTCCTCCTTGTGCTAAGATTGGCTGAATTCTTTATGATGGGCCTTCACTTGACTTTTAGTTATGGGGAACTGAATCCAGTTTTGTGTTTGTAGTTTTGTTTAGTGTAGGGTTGGATGACTTGCATGATAGAACTGATACGGTATGCCAAAAATATGTGCAAACTCCTATGTCATTTTACTGGTAAAGCCCAGTTCCATAGAAATGTAATAGAAGATGTCAACTGATGAATAATTAAACTTATGCTCCGTTAGACATTATGTCTACAAGAAAAGGCATTTGTACGGAATGCTTGTTGGAAATTCAAAGCATGCTCACTATATGATTACCTAACATGCTGATGGGGACTCAGTTTGAAAGCCCCTCCTGCATTGCCTCTCTCTTAAGACTTGTAATAAATTCGTTCAATGGTTATTTGGTGGGTGATTGTGTGATCCTTAAAATTCCTGTTTAGATCTCCTTATAAGAGTATTATGTTTGAATATCATAAAGATATTGTCAGAATTTCAACTAATGTTGGTGGCTGGTTTTTCCTTACTTATTGCAATGCATTATCATCTACTTAGGTTTCTCTATTTTGAAATAGATCAGTTTTTGTTCAGTACATTTTTTTAATGTGTGGTTTTCTTCCTTTTGATGGATTTTGTAGTGTTGGAATCCCACATAAGGAAGCAGCAGTAGAGTGTTGTGATGAAGTCCATCCCCTAGCCAAGGTCTGAAAACCTTGCAATCTGATGTGTGTTGTGTAAATAGGACACCATGAAAAATGCAAAGAATTTATCATGTTGTTGTAGTGCCCAAGATTTCTTTCCACCCTGTTCAGTTCTCAATTTATCATTGAAATCCAATGGTATGTGGTGTGACACTGGGCCAACTCTGGAGGTTGTACGCTGTCTGAAAGAAACCACTTAATACACAGTAAGCAATTACTCATGAGAATAAGTGATGATAATATATGCACAAAGTGTGAGTGTGAGATATACCTTGATTTAACTACAAGCATCTTGTTTTTTGGTCTGTATGTAGTATATTAAGAAAACCATGAGCGTGAGTGGTTTGGAATAGGCTACACAGGTTCTTCAATCCAACAGACTTCGGGGTTAAATGGAGATGAAATGAAACACAAGATTGACTTGGGCTGTGTTCTCAAATGCAAGTGTACCCAAGTTTCATTTTCATCTTGGATTAGTGTCTTGAAAATTAGGGTTTTCATTAATTCCTCCTATCTAAGACCTAGAGTCTCGATTCCTTGCAATTAGTCATGAATATTTTGTGCACAAACTAATGTGGCATTGATGACCCATTCTAACCATCTGATTCTTTGCCAATCAGGCCATAGGAGCTGTGAACACCATTGTAAGAAAGCCTACTGATGGGAAGCTGGTCGGTTACAATACAGATTGTGAGGCTGGTATATCTGCAATTGAGGACGCACTTAGAGGTACTGTTACCTGTTCTAAAATTGAAGGAAGTATCTTACACTAAAAGAGAGTACACACATATATACAGACATTTCTTTGGTGGTTGACTATGGTGCGTCTTTTTTATTTTTTCAATTTAACTATGAGCGGTGTCTAGAGGAAATTATGAGAGCTTCGAAACAAAGGATTATATAGTTAATAGCCAATTTATAGGTGATGCTTTATCTTTAATTTGAAGTGTGTCAAAATATTCAAAATAAATAACTTAAGCACAAGGTCAGTCCAGAAATAACAAGCTAATTCACATATGTGGGTTGTGCAGAAAGACAAATTTCCAATGGGCAAGCATCACAAGCTTCTCCTATTGCCGGGAAATTGTTTGTTTTGGTTGGAGCAGGAGGTGCAGGAAGAGCAATGGCTTTCGGTGCTAAAAACAGAGGGGCAAGGGTGGTCATTTTCAATCGTAATTTTGGTAAGATCAAAACTTTCATTTGACATGTGTAGGTAGTTTCCTTTTCTACAGACTCTGATCCTTCATTTCAAAGAGAGAGCGAAGGCTCTTGCACAAGCAGTTTCTGGTGAAGCTCTGCCCTATGAATGTCTGGACAAATTTTGCCCTGAGAATGGAATGATTCTTGCCAATGCTTCTGCTGTGGGCATGCAGCCAAATACAAACCAGACTCCTGTTTCTAAGGTTCTCTTTTCTCTCCCTGTATATGTGTTTGTGTGCACGTGTGCTTCTCTGTGTGTGTGTACAGGTCAAAAAGACATAATGATCAGCAAATCTTCCCCTTTTTCAACTGCTTTTAGGAGGCCTTGGGATCATATGAACTGGTTTTTGATGCGGTTTATACACCCAGAAACACTAGGCTATTGCAAGAAGCTGCAGAGGCCAGAGCCATAGTTGTGAGTGGCGTTGAAATGTTCATCAGGCAGGCGCTTGGTCAGTTCAAATTGTTCACTGGTGGATTAGGTACTCATCCTCTGCTACACCAGATTACTATCTAAAAGAAACCTACACGTAAGAGTTCTGCCCACCTTGCCCTGTCTTTCTTAGGGTATATGTGAGGCATTTCTAAACATGTAAAACCATTGAAAGCAATAAGTAGGTTTGAGTCTGGGAGTTCAGTTCAGTTAATTTTGGTCTGTTGATTCCTTGCAAGAGACTCCCCTTCTGAATATGTAGTTTTTCTTCAATATATTGGCTGAGCGGGTGACCTAAATTAAGAAATAAATAAGGATTAGGGTAAAAGAGTAGTTTTAAAAAGATTAATAGAGCTGAGCAAATAGTTCTCTCTGTGGAATTTCTGCTTTGGAATGTAATGGCTTAAAAACTTCAGAACTGGTGGTTGGCTTCACTTGTCAAAAGGAGGTGGAGGTGGAGGAGGAGAAAGGTTGTTGATTGATGTTGCCTTAAATTAAAAACTTCCTCATTTACCTTTTTCTCTTTTACTGTTTCTCCAGTGCCAGAGGACTACATGCGCAAGGTTGTATTGGAACAGTTCTGATTACCGTCATGGGTTTTCTGTAACTCACGAAATGACCAGGCCATGGAGACGTTTGACAGCTTAACTCTGAAGTTTGTTGTAGTTGTGCCATGTTTTGATACGTGACCTTAACACCAATACCAGCTTGATTATTAAAGCATGAAATTCAAAGAAGCTACGCACACTCAGGATGGCAGATTATTTTTCATCATCAGAATAAGGTGAAATGAAGATTTTTTCTTCCATTATTGGGACAATGTAGATTCACTTGATTTGAGAGATGAATTTCTTGAAGCTTCTCCTGTTATCTTGCAATCAAAAATGATGGTTTTCAGAAGTGCATGGTCCTTGATGTTTCATAAACAAGTATCAGTTCTAAATTGCAGGCCTTCCCTACATGATCAGTCATGTGTCTCGATTTTAGGTCCCGTGCATCTCTTCTTGAATTTAGCAGCCCATGATTTTGATCTAAAACTCTGTACATTATGATACAACAAGAATTGTCTTATTAGAACTCTCACAAATGGTGGCATTGCACTAACTTGCTAAAATTAATAAGCTTGGTTGGGTGAATTTGCTAATTCTGAAACTGCAATTGTGGCTCCTGTTACATTTGACTTTCAAATACGATTTATATTCTTTCAACTGTACAGTGGTCTCTAAGCAACTTTCTACGATGACTCAACAAATACTCGGACTGATCTCAAGTATCTTTGTGTAGGTTGAACATGAAATTTGTTGTGTGGCGTCAAAATTTAATATGAAATCACTTTTGATTTATCATCTCAAATTCAAACATCTCTACCAGCTATATTTCATATCTTTCATTTCACCAGATCTACAGGTAACCCTAAAGTCTTCATCGACGTAAAGCCACCATCCACCACCAGATTATGCCCATTAACGTACTTGGCCTCATCGGATGCAAGATAAAGTGCAGCATTGGCTACGTCACTGGGTTCACAATGTGCTCCCTCCAAAACACCTGTACTACGTACCATATCCACAAGCCTCTGAGTATCAATCCCTGGAAAGTACTCAACCAGTTCTTCCATCACAAATGCAGTTGGAATGGCGAAAGGGGAAATACAGTTGACCCGAATGCCATACTTGCACAGCTCTGATGCAGCAGATTTCATGATTCCAATCACAGCAGCCTTTGATATGGAATATGTGTGTTGTGCCAGGCCACCTATCAGTCCAGTGACACTGGCAGTGCACAGAATGGAGCCAGTTCGACGTGGGATCATTACGCGCGACGCATGCTTGATCCCAGCAACAACACCCCCGACATTGATCGCCATGACACGGTCGAACACCGCGAGATCCAGGGCAACTATGCTTGGGGGAGTGTGGCATGCAATTCCTGCATTGTTGTACATGACATCAAGTTGACCGTGTTTAGAGACTGTATAGTCGACGGCATTAGAGACGTCTGATTCTTTAGAAACGTCGCAGGCAATGAAGGTGGCATTTGGCCCTAGTTCTTTTGCCGTGTCTTCACCAAGTTTTTGTTGGACATCGGCAATCACAACTTTGGCACCATTGCTGATGAACTTGGTTGCTGTTTCCTTTCCAATGCCGCTTGCTGCTCCAGTGATCAGTGCTACCTTACCCTCTAGTTTACTTTGTCAATAGGACAGGTAGTAGAAGCTCAGTCAGAAAAAAAGTTTTATGAAATTTGAACCAGCAAAAAGACCACAAAGCTGGTGGGCTTTATCTATCAGTGCGAAAAGAAACAATTAACGTGCCAACTCAATTCAACAAATTCTTGTCTTTAACATTTTCTCTTTTAGAGCATGCTAGGTGTTTGATAAATTGTGGAGGTGTTTTTTGCTTAATTATGTGAGCTGTATAGCTCGCTGCCATAACTTATCCGAAAGGCACTCCAATCTAAAACTATAATTACGAGATAAAGTTGATAATTGAGTTAAGCTATTTGAGCTCGAGTTCAGTTCGAATAACATTTGAGTTGAATTCAGCTCGTGTTTTAAACAAGTTGAGCTTAAAAGATTTTTTAGGCTCGTTTAAAAAATAAGCTTAAAAAGACTCAGGCTCGAGATTAACTTGTTTTGTACTCGGTTCGGATTTAGCTCATTTTCTAAATCAACAGAATTTGTTACAGTTTAAAAATATGATGATTAAATTATGGTGTAAAAACAAATAATCTTAACGGACCAGTGAACAACATACATGCATGCCTAGATTTAATCCTCTATTGTTTATTCTACAGTGTCACTCAGGTCAGTCCAAACAGGCCACTCCGGTGTATCGGAAAAAAGGCCAGCACAAGCTGACAAATGACAGATGGTAAAGCTGCTTTTAGTTGGTGATAACTGAAATATGTGAACAAAGCTTGTGAGACCAGTCTAATAAAATAAAATAAAACCAAGTGCACTTACTCTTACCCGAAAAAACAAAGAGAAATGCTATAATATTAAATCTTGCCCAAATGAAGGCGGTTTTACAGGAGATAGAGAGAGAGAGAGAGAGATTTCAACACACCTTCCTATGTGGGTAGAGAACCGCCTGTAAAACTTTTCAGTGGGCAAGGATCTTGAAAGGGGATTGCTTCTGTTCTTATACCAACAACTGAAACACAAAGTGAGGATATACAGACTACAGTCAAGAGACTAGAGAAGATTCTGCATCACACACACACACATCATCATCACATATATGTTTACCCAGATAAGAAAAGGCAAAAAAAAAAAAATCACAGATAAGCTTTAGCCCCTGATTGACGTAAGAGACAAAAAAGAACATATCACATGGGAGCAATCAATCTGGCCATTATTTGAGTGGCCCATGACAAATGGGTCTAAGGCTGATAATGGAACGCGACGGAGGCGAGCCTAAAATAAGTCAAATCCGAATCAAACTTGAGTAGTTTGGTTCGATTAACAGCCGAATCGTCTAGTCTCTCGTAATCTAGACCTACAGCACTAAACAGTACTGTCTAATGCACCCACCGCTTGAAGCTACATAAGACCACCATATCATAGCAGCAACATGGACTTAAGAGCTAAGTAGCACTGCACTTGTGAGGGACATAAGGCAGCCAGATTCACTCTCCAGAAGCATTCTTCTCAAGACTAAAAATCAGCGTAGCAGCTTCAAATAGTTTTGTCTTGAGATTAGAAAAACAAAAGAAAGAAAAGAAGGACAGACAAACTAACCTTGATCCGATCTTGAACATACTTTCTTCCAGAAAGATGATCTTTAAGAGAGAGAGAGAGGGAGAGATGCTTTGTCAGCTCTTTTTAATGGGTACAGACCTCGCTTCATATGGCGTGTAAGCAAAGAAGGTTGAAATTAGGCAAGTAAGGCAACATTGTATTGACCAAATAATAGGAATAAAAAAGGGTTTAATGTGACTATGTGAGGGTAAAATATCCCCAGAAATGGGTCCTCAACTTTAGACTCAGTATTACTTTAATAACTGTAAATACATTAGCAACAATGCTATATTAACCAAAAATTTTTATTAATTTTTTTATGCGACAAAATTTTCACCATCAAATAAATAGGTCTCATTAACATTTAATGATGAAGATTGCTCCACATTAAATGAAAAACTTAGTAAGAAACTTGATAAAACATGACATTACTTGTAATCTCAAATGTAGTGTTTGATTATAGTCAGTAATCTAGTGCAGGAATTGACGTTATTGCCAAATTGTTTTAGGAAATAACTTAATTTTTGAAATAAAATTTATTTTAGGGAGGAATTTCATTTTTAGATTTTTATTCATTTTTTATAGAATACCCAATTAATGTAGGTATGAAATTAACACCATTGATCATGGGTTTAAGATACCCATTATTATTGAAAATTGGATTACAGTAAAAAATTTATTCGCGAATTAAATTACTGAATAATTAATTATTCAAACATGGAAATTTATGATTTGAGAATGAAATTCTTGCTTCCAATTACCATTACCATCATTTAAACAGGACTTGAGGGTTTATTTATTTATTTATTTTTTTGGTGCCTTAAAAAAAATTACTCATTAAATGGTAAAAATTTGGAGAACAATTATAAAACAAATGGTACAAAAGTGAGATGGAATCATAAGTTGATTAACTGGAATCAAAACATAATCTACAAAAGAGAGCTGAGAGGTCCAATCAATAGCCTAACAAGTTCAAAAGAAACCGACTTTTGCTATTGGAGTATTATTAGGATTTAAAGGGACAAAAGCAACGCAAGCCCACTTTAATGATTAGTTATTAGAGTTGACCATCACTTGTGAAATTCATATTAAAATTAAAATGTTATAAAATTTATATTAATAGATAATAAAATATATAGACTCGTTAAACTTATTTTATAAATGGATTGATATAAACATCATTAAGCATTAAATTATATTATATACTCGCTTTTGGGTGCAAATGATTCCAAATTTGATAATCAGAGTCCCTCATTGACAACTGTATTGTTTGCTAACATTTTGAAGTAATTTTTTTTTTAAATAAAACATAACTTTGTCAAAAAATTAGGAAAAGTTTGATTCTAATCCTACAAAAGCGATCAATTTGCATTTTACTGTATAGACGATACTAAAAATTCAAGTGCACGAGATTTTTGTTATGATAATAAATAATTATAGATACTCTAAGATGTGTTTTTGATGTTTAAGAAGAAGAAAAAAAATAAAGTGAAGAAGTTCGGGACAAAAAAAGGGCAATGCGACTTAGACTTTATTTAGTGATATTATCATTTTGAGTTAATCTTAACTTGCACCTTAAAAGAACACTCAAATTTTAATTTATACCTTGAAAGTTTAAAAATATTAATATATACCCTGAAAGATATAAATTCGTATCAATGTGTACTTGATACTAACTCTATCAATTTTTCAGTTAAAAAAGTTTGGGTTAATTATAAATTATACCCCTAAATTTAATATTTCATATATATGATCTAAAAAGAATTTTATCCATTAATGTTCTTTAAATAACTCCTAATTGTATTGTATCATAACATATTCGTGTCAATAAAAAATATTTTTTTAAAATTTTAAAAAATTATAAAATACCAATTTTGCCTACAATTCTCGTTAAATAACTATTTTTTGTTTATAGTTAGATACAAATCTTTTGATTATCAAATCAAATTAAAAGTAAATACAAATAACACAACTATAGATAAAAAAAAAATGGTTATTTAACAAATATTATAGACAAAAAATTGATATTTTTTAATTTTTAAAAAATATTAAGTTTAACATATTAAGTCTAATTAGACAATATAATTGTATATTAATCACAATTTTTTAAGAAAAAATTGAATTTTTATTTTTGATTTTATTTCAATAAAATGATACAATTAAATATAAATTTAAAGCGTAAATTTTAAAATATTTGATATTTTATCTTTGATGAAAATATTTTGATTTAAAAATAACATTTTAAACTTAAGAGGTTTAAATAAAATTATGCGCTTACAAACTTTAGGAAATATATGTGTAATACTTCAAATGTCAGAAGATTTGAGTGATTAAATGACAAGGATTTGAGTGATTAAATGACAAACCTCAGAAGGTTTGAGTGTAATTCTCTCAATTAAATGCAAAAAGCATAAAAAACTTAATATAGAAGGGGCATTCCGAGAATTGAACTCGGGACCTCTCGCACCCTAAGCGAGAATCATACCACTAGACCAAATGCCCTTGGTTGTTCTTCATCTCAAGATATATTTTTTAAATGTTTTATCTAATCTGAGTACAGTGAAGCAAACACGTTTCCCTCCAAAAATTGCAATGAACAAATGTTCCCACTCAATCATCTTCCCTATTTCAATCAAATCCTCATTCATATAAGTGCAAACCCTAACCCATTTGATAGTCATGCAACTGCCCTATACCTTCCCTACCACTTCAATGTCATCAGTCTCCTCCTAGTTCCTCTCCGTTATCTATCTGTAAGAATCTCAAACTCTTTTATGATCATCTCTTCAGAACTCACATTCGTTTATATAATATATGTTGTGATCATCATGAAAACAATGTACTTCTTTTTTATGTATCGTATGCTTTTCATGAATCATTGTTGTGCCAGCCTCTGATATGAATTTGTTTGACTGATCACTGAAGTGTTCTTCTTCTTTTTTGTTGCCTCTTTTTGCCCTTTTTTTAGGGCGGGGATGATGAAGAACATTACTTAGCCAAGAATTTAATGGCTAATCATACGGATACTGAAATTCAGACCTTTGATACTCGATCTTTCTCTTCATTACCACCATCACATGGTAAGAATTGTCTACTTTTGCGTCTTGCAAATTTTTCATGGTTCGTTTTATAGCATTTCAAGGAGGAAAAGGGTGTGCCCAGTGCACGAGACTCCTACCATTGTGAGTTTGGGAAGAGTTAGATGTACGTAGTCTTATCTCTACAGCCAACCAGACGATAGTATTGAGACTGTTTCCATTACTCGAACCTGCGGTCTCTAGGTTATTTCAAGGAGGACATGTCTTCTAAATATACTCAAAATCTCCCCCTTTTGAGTTATGGAGATTGTATATGAGAATGATTAAAAAAACATATGTTTGATCCATAAAATTCTGACCTCTGTTTTTTTTTTTTTTTCCTTTTGGAAGATGAAGGAACAGAGAATGAGTATATTTAGCACTCTTCTTTTTTCTTTTTCTTTTTGTTTTAATTTCCCTTATCTAGTTTTGAAATTGCGTGGAATCCAAACTGAAAAGGGTATTCTTCCAGAGTGAAACATGTTAGATTTGACTCTCAATATCGTTGTTGAGGCAAAGATACTTTCAGAACTTTGAGACATTGATGCATAGTTTATATGAGAGAAAAATGCAACCCTCCGTGCTATTTTGCACAAATCCAGAAACATTAAGCATGTTTTAGGACTTGCCGTTCTGAAATAGGGTGAGATTGAGAGAGTATAGTGGGAATAGGATCCTGGATCCTCCAGGGTCATTTAATTTCTACAGCTAAACCATCCTCTCTTTTGATATTTTATGTAGCCCATGGCTTAAACCAATTCCTAGGGAAATCCAGACTCCAGATGTCAAATGCGTTTGAGTTTGTGGTTGTATTTACTGATTTTGATGGAAACAATGGTGTGATTTTTTCTGGGTGTGATATACGCCATCGTATTAACATCTCATCTGGCTTAAAAGCAGGCAATAAAGCCAAAATTAGAAAGGAGAATGGGTATCAAAGTACTGTGCTCTTTGCTGATGCCGCCAGGCTAGAGAATTCCTCAGTAGAAACACAGTTGGAGAATTTTGATGATGACACTGAGGTACTGGATGTTCCTTTCTGTATTGGGAACGTGAGAACTCAGACAGAAGACAACACACAGGAAGAAGTCGTGCTTGACAGTGATGATGAAGGAGTACATGTTCGCCAAGTGACGAATATCACAATATCTTCTGCTGAATTCAAGAGAAATGCCAGAGGGGATGCATCAGACTTGGAGAAGAGGTGGCTCACTTCTCCTCTTGACCAAGTTAAGGACTTGGCCGCATGTTCTGTTGCCTCTGCTGGTAAACAGTGCTATTTAGATTGAAGATGATAATTGTAATTTTTTTCTCATCCAATTAAATGTCTTACTAGAAGTTTTTTTTATGGTGTTTTGGTTCTCTAAAGTGGTGTAGACCACAGCACATGTGCATTAGATCTCAGTGGGGACCGGACAAGGTGTTGCATGTTCTGGTGTCTACCCCCACCAAATGTTTGGATGAACTATGGCTTCTACCCCCCACACTACAACATTTGGATTAACTTCATTTGTTTATATCGCGTATAAATAATAATATATTAGTCTTAAATTTTGTTCTTCTTAAGGGTGAGTTGACTAACACTCCACCTAAATGCATGGAAGAAATTGCAGTGTACCCTAAAATTTTTTATTCCTGTGTCCTAAGCTTATGCTCTTCACTGTTGTTGTCTATTAACATTCAACGATTTCTTATTGTGATACTTCATACCGAGTGTTGTCTTTTACTGCCATTCTTTTCTGAAGCTGTAAAATTACATGCATAAATCAAGGTTATGCGTTTTATTATCACTATTTGTTTTGTAAAAATGCATGGCTACATGTTGGCAGCAATTAATGTTTTTCTTTCGTACTTTGGATTCAACAAGACTTTGAAGTTGTATGCAAATTATTTTGACCATTATGTTCAGAACTTTTCTTGAGTCAGCATGGGCATCTAAATCTTATGTGTTTGAGTTTTGGTGCTATTCCAAGTTGATGGAAGTGCAGGATTTCAGATCCATCCGATGTTCAAAACAAATATAATCATTTGCTGTAATTTGTTTGGCTGGATAATTCTTTTACAACTATGCTCTTTTGGCATTTATGCACTGGTTTCACTAATGAAATTGCTTTTTATATAAGTTGTTATGCTGACTTACGCTAATTTTCGGTCAGAATATTTACAGAGGGTGGGTGGTTCAGTTTCTTCACAATCACTGTGGGATTCTTGTTCAGGTAGAAGGTATGTGATGGTTAAGGGAAGTGATAGTTGGCCTAATTCTCTCCGTGCTGGCAGTCATTATCAGAGTAAGTGTGATAAGGACATTGATGCAAGTATAAAGAAACTTGATCAGGACCGTCGTATTAGGGATTGCAGTGGAAATAAGTGCGACTTTATGGACAAAATCGATAGAGAGGATACAGTGGGAAAAATTTCACCTGAAGATACACATTGTGGGAAAAGGGTATCTTCAAGTAATTGTGAGGCCATAGACGGAGAAATAGATACTCGGCTGGTTTCCTGTGACTGTGAGCTCACAACGCTAAGCTATGTTGAGTGTCAAGAGCCTGAAGAGTTGTCACAAGCTAATGCACTGGACTTTGTGGACCGTTATGTATCATTAAACAGAGGGAACTTCACTGAGGAGGTTGAAAAAGGAAAGGTTAATAAAATCAGATCACCTCCTGTTTTAAGTGCCAAGGGACCTCAAAGTTTGGCAAGGAGGGCCAACCTTAGAAACACCCTTGGGGAGCCGGGAATCTTTGAGTGGGTTGACAATCAAATTGATGACAAGGGGAATGTTTCTCTAAAACTAAGAAACAAACTTGTCTTGAATTCCAAAGGGCAGGGGCCTAGATCTGTTACCTCATCTCACGGTGCTGTTAAGTCAAACTGCCATAAACAGGAGAGCTTACGGGTTGAGTGCAAAGAGAAGTTGCAGGCCAAAGTAATTGGTCTAGATGATTCTGATTTCAGGTTAATGGTGCACAATTCTGATGAGATTACTCATACAGTACAAATATCTGAAAAAGGAATTGAACCAGATTTTGCGAAGGAGTTGAACAAACAGTTTGATGCTGAATCATCAGGGCAGCAGTTGGAAATCAGTAGCATGGGAATGGAAATTCCAGACATGTTTAATGTGGGATTTGATACTCAAATGGCTGCTGAAGCTATGGAATCCTTATTCTATGCCCCCTTTCCCAATGGTGATGCTGATTTTGTACATCAAGGTCCACAGAACACGTTTGATGATTCTCCAACAGATGAATCAAAGGACAAAGCATCAAAATGTCAGTCCAGTCCTAATGGGGCTTATTCAGAGCCAGGAATCACTTTGAGAGTATATAAGAGAACAAAAAGGCCTGCTAAAAGATTAAGCAGTAACATAGCTGGTTCAGTTGACAAAGACACTACAAGCCAGAGAGAGTCAGAGTCTGTTATATCAGCAAGGAAGAAAGTGAAGGGGCCACAAGGTAGAAATCTTGCCAACACAAAGCAAAGCTTATGTGGAGGATCTTCCAAGGTAATTTACCAAAGAAAGAAAGACAGAGCTCCTAAGAAGGATGACATCACAGACATTAATAGTGATCTTAATTTGTCAATGTCTGTTGAATGTAACTTGTTTGGCGAAGGATTGTCACCAAGGAAATCTAGGAATTCTTCACCCACTGCTCACTGGATGAGGCATTGGTCAACAAAAAAATCGTCTGAACAGATGGAGGATCAGATAAATAATTATACAGAAAATAAATGTAATACTACAGAGATTGCTATTCTTAAGAAAGGAAGAAAGAGTAGTAGGATGGATGCTAATGTGTCTCGAGTGTCAAGTGTCCGAGGAAAACATCCCAAGTTGAGTTCTGGCATATCTGTGGAAGCTACCAACAGCAAAGTCAACGGGCAATTTGATATGAATGGGGCTACCACTACCTGTGATTTGAAATTAGATACATGGAGCTATCCCAAAAGGAAAAGAACACGACAGAATGTGTTTCACCAATCAAACACAAGAAGTAACCTTTGTGTCCCATCTGCAGTAGTTAATGGGGGAAATGACAATGGGCATTCTGTTGGATGTCAGAAAAATTCTGAAGGGGAGTACAAGGCCAGTTCCTTCAGCTTAGATATAGATAGGAAAGCACCCTTATTGGTGTATACTCGCTGGTTTCGGACTTCGTCAGAAAACAAACGTGTGGGTAACTCGTTAAGGCCGAATATTGAATCAAGCTCACCAGATGCTATTATCCACAATCCTGCTGTCTTGACCGAAGAGAGGAGAACTGCAGATATGGACAAAGCCAAGGCCTCATGGCAATCTGGCAAACTTGATAATGTGGCTTCGGCAGTCTTGGTTGATGATGCAAACCAGAACATCAAGATAGCAAACTGGAAGGCCAAGGAACCACCCATAAATAAGGATGGTGTGAATTTCAAAAGACCACACAACAAAAACGTCTCAAGATCGCCGCTTATGAAAGAGCTTTTTAGATTAGGGATTTTTAAGTCCCTACCTGATTTTGTGTCAAAAGATTTGAGAGAACGAAGAAATATGGCAAAAGTTCGTGTCTTGTTCAGCCAAAACTTGGATGATGATATTCTTAAGCAGCAGAAAAAAGTAGCTTTTTTTTTCTTGCACCACAAGTCTTAACTAATCAATATCAACTCCATGGTCAGTTATAGATCATGTGTTTACTGATGAGTTTTCTTTGTAGATTGTGGCAAGACTAGGCATTTCCATTGCATCATGTTGTTCGGACGCTACTCATTTCATAGCAGACAGATTTGTGCGGACAAAGAATATGTTGGAAACCATTGCTCTTGGTAAACCAGTGGTCACACATTTATGGCTGGAGAGCTGCGGACAAGCTAACTGTTTCATGGATGAGAAAAATTACATTCTGAGGGATGCCAAAAAGGAAAAGGAACTTGGCTTTAGCATGCCTATCTCACTGGCTCGTGCTGGCAAGCGTCCACTTCTAAAGGTAATTGTGCATGGCCGTCAGGTTGTGGCTTGACATAAACCAGATATGCTTGTTTGTTGTATAAATATTTGTATTTGTGTATGTTGCCAATAGGCTTATAATTTCCAGATTTTAATGCCTTAATCTTTTTTTCCAGCAGGGTCAAAGAGTCTTCGTTACCCCAACTGTACAACCTGATAAAGAATTGATTGAAAGCTTGGTCAAGGCAGTTCATGGTCAGGTACGTGATTCTGCCAATGTGTTGCATTCCATGAGTTGAAGTTCATTCAACTCCTTAGTTAAGTCCTAGGTGTAAACCATGCAGTTTGTAAATTGGGTTTATTAAGATATATGCCAAATATTTTAACCCCGTAGAAGGCAGTTTTGCAATTTTTGTGTATGTCATTTTTTATTAAGGCATGTAAACTCTCCGACCATAGAACATACTTGCATGAATCAAACAGGCATTATCAATCAGTCTACAAAATTAGTTACATGTGCAATTCATTTTGTCTTAAATCACTTGCTGATAGTGTAAGTAGCTACAATAAGTCCACCTCCTTTTCTAAGAACCCAAGTTTATGATGAAATGCTTCTCAGGCAGTGGAGAGAATACAGAGAGCTGCAATCAAGAATGAAATCATCCCAGCGGATCTCTTACTCCTTTCTTGTGAACAGGATTATGAGATGTGTTTGCCATTCCTCGAGAAAGGTATAAATTCAGCCTCCTTTCTCACTTTCTTTGAGAGATTCACTTGCCATAGAAATCAATGCCAATTATGGGGATTTGCTTTTGCAGGAGCAAAAGTTTACAGTACAGAGCTTCTACTTCGTGGGATAATTATCCAGAAACTAGAATATAAGAGGTCAGTATAGCAAGCCACTAAACCTAATATAATTAGATGCAGGTGGAAGTATGACATTTTCCTTATTTGTCACATATGCTTGTGTGTGGGGCTTGGTTTACACCTACCATTCAAGAAGGTAACAGTTGCCCCATAGATACATTCCAATTGCGTTTATCTGAAGTGCGGTTCAATCCACATTGTGGGATGGCACACTCTGCTTTCAAGAGCAGAAATATAGACAGAAAATTTTTCTGTTTAGAGCACCAAGACTACTTTTGGATCCGACCATTCACCAGTGCTGTCGAGCCTTTGTTTGCATTTGTTGTACAGTAGAGGGAGATAGATGGAATCATTGGATGGTGTGCTTATTCACCTAACTAATGTTAAATTGAGGAAGAATGGTGAATGTCTATATGCTTATTCACCTGGCCAATGTGAAATGAAGAACAATGGCAAAACAGCATCATGGAGCAAACCCTGAAGACTTCTTGTAACAAATTCACATATTAGAATGAATCAATTTTCGGTCATCTATTCTTTTTTTCCGAGATTATATTTGGCAATTTCAAACTTGCTGATTTCAATTCATGCATTTGTGCTCTTTCATATAGACCACTAGTAGGTTACATTTTTCAGTTTCTCTAATAAATTTATGTTTTTGATGACAGACATCAACTCTTCACAAATTATGTCAAGAACTGCTCTAACAATCTTGGGAGGGAAGATGGAGAACAATAGTTTCTTCTTGTAGCTCGGTATAAATAGGCCTTTGGTTTTGGCAGCTGCTACCCTTTTTTCTTTTTAAAATGAGGAGGCTGTGTTTTGGTTTGGGGGGTTTATCTGGCAGGGATAGTTTTTGTACAGATATACAGTACAGAATCAATACCTCTCTAATAGTATTATTTGAAGTCTTGAAGATTTTGACACTGAATCACTTGACAAGGCTAACGGCCTAAGGCGATTCTATATCTAGACTCTATTTAGTAATTTCGTTTGACTCAAAAAATGTGAGTTAGTTTAAGCGGCTAAAACTTTATTAAATTGCATTAAAAGGTCAAGAGTTTGAGGTTCCATATCCTTAAAAGGGGATTAGATTAACTGTATCCATTGGAAAATAAAAAATTAAAATTCCTGCGAATTAGATAAATATGCTTGGAGCTTAACTGTTTGTGGCATTTGCAATGTGTGAGATTTGAAAGACTTTAGAAAACTTCCTATAAAATTAAAACTAATTTTAGCATTAAACTGGAAAAATTACACAAGTAATATTAGTATTTTTATTTGTGTAGGTTAATTTTTTTTTGGTTTAATGATTATGAATGTTTAGATTAGTTTACGTGTATTTCATATTCGTTTCGGTTAAAAGTTAATTATTTATGTTGAGATTAGAATATTTATAAAAGATAAATTTCTCATGGTCGGATTTTAAAGAGTTATCAAAATTCAAACTCATGACAGTTGAATTTATAGTTCACTCTTATTATTACTTGAATTATCTTTTAACTAATTAAGAGAATAAAAGTATGAAAATAAGACTTAAAATAAGAGAGAATCCTATGATGATGAAAAAAAAGAGAATTTTTGCATTAAATTTGTGAAATTCGAACTAATTAAAAAGTTATGCGAACCACATGTTAATTGTATGCTGAGAAAGAAGAGATGTTAGATTGGGGGAAAAAAAAAAAAGAGAGAGTGATTATCAAATTAATTATTTGGAAATAAATCAACCAGAACGGCGACGTATTGAACACTTGCGAATTTTGTCCGTCCCAATAATAAGCGTGGGGGACAAGGGGCAAATTAGGTTAAAAGTAAGTGGGTCTTGGGCATTCATTCGGTATTCCGATATTCGTTTAACGCTGTTCTTGTCATATGTGATAATATATCTGCGATTCTTCGGTTCTCACTCGCTTTCGCTCTCTCTCTCTCTCTCGGATCGCGGATTCAATCACCATCATCATCACCTGCAGTTCAGGTTAGGGTTTTGAAAATCCTAATTTCTTCGTTTTCTTTTTTTATTTTTGAAGGTGGCTTTTCCTTGCTAGGGGGTTTGTTCTCCTTTTTCCAGGAGACTTGATTTACTTATCGATGTAGAGCTGCTGACTTACTTCATTTGCTTGATCTTTTGTTGCCTCTCTCTCTCTCTCTCTCACACACACACACACGCGTACACGCACACTTTTTGTGGATTTGGATTTGATCTTTAATGTTGTGATTTTTTTAGTTTAAGCAATTGAGTGAGCGAGGGACATCTTTGTACTATATTTCATTGTCTACTACAGAGCTAGGGGACAATGAAATCGAGTAATTCATTTACTAGTGTGTCTTCGTGTCTGCTTGGTTAATGTGATTGGTGTTTAGAGATCCACAGCCTACTATTCAATGCTTCAATTGACCACATCTGTAGTGATTTTATTTGATTCGTAGAGATTTTGAAAGAGAGCTGTTTATTCGCCCAAAGGAACCTATCAAACTAGCAAAAAAAAAAAAGAAGAAGAAGAAAACGTCTCACTAGTGGGGAATTTGGTTGTGCTTTGAAGTCAGCAGCCTTTGTAAAGATTACCTTAAATAGAATATCAATTCCGGTAAACAGTGCTGCATATGCATACAAATCAGAATAACTGTTGTTTGGAACAATCGTAACGGTATCAATCTCTCAGGTTGAGCTGCATTCATCTATTCAAAATGACATGGGATAGGCTTAGTTGCCTACCTAGGGACTTTGCATGTCTTGCCAGTTAGACACCACATTATCTAGTAATTGAATGTTGAGAATGAGAACCCTTTGCAGAGCAAGGCATCCAGGAGATTAAATAATTCTGAAGTGGTCTAGATTATATGGTCTTTCTTTGCTTCTGTTATATGACTTCGAATATTGATTCAATCAAAGCAATTATCTTTCGTGTTAGTTCCAAGATAGTTGCCTGTCATTGAGAAGGTTATTACTTGATGAGCCCAAATCTAACTGGGTCAGACCCAATAAATCAAGTAAGTCCAAGTCAGTTAAAAGGCAGCCCAAGCCCGCTTTATCAATCCGACTCAATTCAAGATGCAAGGAGTCCACGAAGGAATGAGCACATGGGTGAGAGATCATCGAGATGGATACACAAGAATTAATTGTACTTACCTTTTGTAACTATCATCTTCAAAGAAGTAGTGCCCTCACACTTACGTCACCGCCTCACCATATCTATAAATTGTAAGCTCTCTTCACATGGAGAGGCATCTCCCAACACCTCTGGATCTTCCTACACACACATAGCTTCTCTCTCCTAACTATTGTACCTCTCTCAGAGTATACATCTCTCGGAGCTTTCTCTCTCTTACTTTATTCATCAATAAAGACCCCTGGCCATCGCTGCCATTTTTTGGGAGTGGAGTAGGTCACCTGAACCGAACCACTATATATCTATGTGTTGACCCGATATTTACTATTTTTTTATTGATTACTTTATTAATTGTCTTATTTATTATACCACATCACACACTCGACTGTTGATCTTACATGAGACAGTTTTGCGCATCAGCAGTTTAGTGTCATATGTGGGAACCGATTTAATTCTCTCCTTATAGTCTTCCTACCTCTAATGGCAAGAACAACTAGATTCATGAACCACCAAGCAAAAGATGACATGCTACATCGGTCCCGCCACCACCGGCAAAAGTTAGACACATGCAAAATCTACTTTTTCACTAATTTGGGATAAAAAACTCAAATTTTGTGAGAAAGAAGATTTTTTGGAGAAATATTGTATCCTATGTCGTAGATCTCGAAAAAATAGACGATTTTAATTTTTTTTTGTCTCAAATGGACAATCAAGCTCAAAATTATGGTCGTTCGAAATTTCGTCGTTGTTTAGTACTCCACCCAACGCCATCGCCTAATGGTCAATACTCAGCGCCAGCATTTAGTGGTCAGCGCCAGCGCCTTAGGGTTAGTAACCAATACCCAGCGGCCGCCCAATGGTAAATATCAACGCCAGTGCTCAGCGCCCAAGCGACCCGAGACGCCCCCACACGACCCGAGGTGTCACCCAAGCAACCCAAGGCGTCACCCAATCCACCCAGTAAGGTGTCGTCCAAGCCTGGTGTTGCCCAAGCCCTCGAGCCATTCCCATCGTCGTCCTCATCCAGCAGTACCCATTTATTACTTGGCTAAGGATTGACCCGGGATCTAGAGCCCTATTGAAACTCTACTTCGAGTATCAAGGGAATATTGATAAACAACGCCTCTTGGCGAGCACATCTCATCCTAAAATCTAGGACCCAACGTCCTAATACGACTCTACCTCGAATGTCTAGGAGATTAGTGATGAGGTCTATCCTATCACAACTTGAAATTCAAGTCTATGTGGAACACTGCTTCCTATACCATTATAAATAAAGGTTCCGAGTACCATGTATGTCATGGAATTCTAATCTATTCACCATATACTTTTTCTTTGACTTGTTTACTGACATAAGCATCGGAGTCCCTTTGGTCACCTCTGGCTATCAGTTCGCCTAGTTTTTCTTGTCTTGCAGGTTTACCAAAACTCCCCAGCTATCATCTTTGTTTGTACAAGGTGATCGAAATCGAGCGGACAACAAGAATAAGAATCAACCTCTAAAACATATGTTCTCTGGCCTCACATGGATTGCAGTGTTGAACTGATCCTTGAGCTAATTGGTATCCTTGAATTCGACTAGGGAAGGCCTAGTGCCACCCATGTCTCAGTGCCCAACAGTGCTCTCATGTAAGCACCTTATATCCCCAGCTTTGCATGCTCTTAGCAGTCGCTAGAAAGCTCGACCTAGTCCTGCCTTTGCTCTTAAGCAGTCTATATCTCCAGCTTCGTACTCTCTCGTGAGTCGTCAGAAAGCTCGGCCTAATTTTACCTATGCTCCCAAGCAGCCTCAATCTCCAACTTAGTGCCTCTCTCGCGAGTCATCAAAAAGCTTAGCCTCACTCTGTCTCTACTCTCCGGCACGAGAGTCCCGGGAGTCTACACCACCACGACAATCTTGGGAGAAAGTGTTATGTGCCCTTGCGCTTGCCTGCTCCGTGCATAGTGGCTCCACCCACCATGAGGCGCCCAGACACTAACCTGAGAAAGCCTGATGTCTCGGAGACAACTCCACAGGCCTCAGGAGAAAACACTCTGAGCCTAGAGGCGCCCGACTCCTTTGCGCCCTCGCTATCATCTATTATACCATGTTGAAGACTATACGTGGATGGGTCCTCCACTAGCGAGGACGGTGGCGCAGAACTAGTGTTGATCAGCCCCCATGACACTCTACTCAAGTACGTTGTCTCTATCCACTTTGCAACATCTAACAACCAAGATGAATATGAAGCCCTCAAATCAGGCTTGAAGCTCGCACTGCTTGAGAGTCTATAGTGACTCACAGCTGATAGTCAACCAGGTAAAGGGAGGGCTCTCCTAGGCGTCCGTACCCAGCGTCCAAGCGCCCCAGTGCCTAGGCGCCTGTGCCAACCAACGTCCAACACCCCTCAGCATCCGTGCCCAGCGCCCCTCGTCGTCCTCACCCAGTGGCGCCCACGTCTCAATCTCTAGCTTAGTGGTTCTCACGATAGTCGTCAAAAACTTGGTCTATCTCTGCTTCACTCTCAAGCAAACAGCCTATGTCTCCAATTTATCGGCTCTCTCCCTGATCGCCAAAAGCTTGACCTATCTCTGCTCTGCTCTCATTTAGGCAACCTATGCCTTTAGCTTAGCGGCCCTCTCGCGGGTTGCTAAAAGTTTGGCCCATCTCTGCTTCGCTCTCATGCAAACAACCTATGTCTCCAGTTTAACGGCTTTCACGAGAGTCACCAAAAGTTTGGCCTATTTTTTCTCTACTCTCAAGCAGACAGCCTATGTTTCCAGCTTAGCAACTCTCATGAGAGTCACCAAAAGCTTGGTCTATCTTTGCTTCACTCTTAAGCAAGCAGTCTATCTACAAATTTTTGAAGCCAGAATGTCAGCATGACCAAACATACAGAATAGAGGGTTCCACATAACAACGGGGTACCATAGCAAAATCCTCTATCTCGGTATCAATGATACCCTCTAAACCCCGAAAGCTGACATCCAAGGGTATCACAAACCTCCAAAGCCTCTTCTTAGCCAAAATTTACATCTTGCAGCAGGGACACCAGGCCATTGCTAGAGGCAGGATAATTATGTGAAGCGTCGGGGGCATCAAACCCCGTCTTTCGAGAAACAACAGGACTATCAGACCTCAGCTGGGAAGCACTGGTGGCATCAGATCTCACCCCTTCTAGAAGGAGGGAAAGCCATCATATGGAACAAGATATTTGTTCTATCCAAAGGAAGGAGCTCACTTATGCCCTTAAGCCCAAATCACTACTAGGGCTTGGGGCAATGGGGGTAAATGATGAGCTCAAATCAAACTGGGTCAGGCCCAATAAATCAAGCAAGTCCAAGTCTTCTAAAAGGCAGCTCAAGCCCGCTTTATCAATCCGACTCGGTCCAAAATCTAAGGAGTCCACGAAGGAATGAGCACATGGGTGAGAGATCATCGGGATGGATACACAAGAATTAATTGTACTTACCTTTTGTAACTATCCTCCCCGAAGAAGTAGTGTTCTCACACTCACGTCACCGCCTCACCATACCTATAAATTGTAAGCTCTCTCCACATGAAAAGGCATCTCCCAAGACACCTCTACACCTCCCTACACACACATAGCTTCTCTCTCCTAGTTATTGTATGTTTCCCGGAGCATACATTTTCCGGAGCTTTCTCTCTCTTACTTTATTCATTAATAACGACCCCCGGCCACCGCTGCCGTTTCCTGAGAGTGGAATAGGTCACCCAGACCGAACCACTATATATCTGTGTGTTGACTCGATATTTACTATTTTGTCATTGATTACTTTAGTAATTATCTTATTTATTATACTACATCACACACTCAATTGTTGATCTTGCACGAGACAGTTTTGTGCTTCATCATTACTTATTAACCAGGGTTTTCATCTACAGTCAAAACAATAAAAAAGACAAAGCAGATATTCATGAGATTCTCATAACCTGTTACATTAACGTCTGGTATTTGATTTTTTTAACATATCATGTACAAACAGTGTGTCAATTAAGAACTGATTGATTCTTTGCTGACCCCATTTGAGGCTGATAGTGAAATGTTTCGTTGGGTATTGGACTCACTCTGCAGTGAAAGAGAACTGTTGAATCTAACCCCTTTAAATATGGATGGGGAAGTTTTAATCTTTAGGTTACAGATAAATATTTCTTAGTCAATTTGGTAGCTCATTTGTATACTTAGAGAACAATTGAACAATGGATATAAATCTTGTTTGGGTGTTTCCCAAATGTATTTTAAGTATCTTCTTGGGGTTCATATGATAGGCATGGATATTTTATCTTTGTACAAAAGATAGGGTTAATTAGAAATGTATGCATATTATACAGTGGTTTTGCTTCAGGAGAGGCTATGGCTTCAGGAAAGCAGACCCCTGCACAAAGAAAAGAGGCAAAAAGTACTTCACAAGTTCCCAGGAAAAAAGATGAAAAGGAGTCGGTTAAACGAGGGGAACAAGGGGAACAAGCGAATAAGAAGAATAGTGCCGCAGGGAAGACTATTGTATCCGGAAAGAACAAGAGAAAAATTGGTATTGCTTCTGATTCGACCCTAGAACTGACAAATTCTGGCAAGAAAATGCCCACGTCTCTGAAGCCTGAACCAAAAATTTTGAAGAAATCCTCAAAACAGAAACCTACAAAACTGAAAGAGGCAAAAGGCACTCCAAAAGTTGCTGGAAAAAAGAATGAAAAAAAGGTGATAAAAGGTGGCAAACAAGAAACTGAAAAGAGTCAAAGAGATGGTGAAAGCAATCTAAATTCAACTAATGGAAACAAAGGGAAGGAACTTATCAATGAAAAGCACGAGGAAGCGACCAAGAGGGATCAAAATGCTGAGAAAAATCTTGGTGGACTTATTTTGATGTGCAATGCCAAAACCAAATCAGATTGTTTCCATTATCATGTCATGGGCGTCACAGCAAACAAGCAAGAACTTGTAATGAGTATTAAACCTGGTCTGAAGCTTTTTCTCTTTGATTTTGATCTCAAGCTTTTGTATGGAATCTACAAGGCATCTTCTGCTGGTGGCTGGAAACTTGAACCAGCTGCTTTTGGTGGGGCTTTCCCAGTTCAGGTCCACTTCATGCTGTATATTTTTCTTTATTCTTCTTGAAATTCCTGAATAATCCGTCTTGTGGTTATTGACAGTTAGTCATTTTACAGGTCCGTTTCACCGTTCACAAGGACTGCCTTCCACTACCGGAGAGTGTGTTTAAGAAGGCAATCAAAGAGAGTTATGATGATAGAACAAAAAAGTTCAAGACTGAATTAACTGCTCATCAAGTGAGGAGCTTTTTTTTTTTTTTTTTTGTGGTTGTTGTTGTCAATATTATGGCAAAACTGATTCATGAAGCCGACTCAAGTAGTTGGTATAAGGCTTTGTTAAGTTGAATCGAGTACTATTATATTATTGTTATAACAAGAGTATCTCCCTTTGGGAATTTTGAAACCATTGAACTAACAATAAAGGTGTCATTGTTTGCTCTTGCAGGTAAAGAAACTGACCCTGTTGTTCCAGGCTGCACCATGGTTAAACTCAAATGCACAATCTTCTGGTCAGGAATCTCTTTCGGCACCAATCATCCACCCCCCAGCAGCTGCAACCATACCAGGTGAGGACGCTTGCAGGGGACAATCACATAGAGATCATTACAGTAATAAGGAAGCAGCAAGGAACCTTATGCCATCTGATCGTGATAGGAAGCAGTTCTCTAAGCACCCTGTCTCGCCCAATGATGTAGCTTCTCCTGACCCACTTTTTCTGTCTGAGAAAGACTATAGAACTTATGGGCTTCGAGGTGAAAGACATCTTTTAACAGCTGCTGCTACTCCAATGGGCACTGGTTTAGATCCTCAGAGAACTGATCAAGAAAGGGAACAGCTTCTGAAGAACTCTGCTCCTATCCTTGGTGATGCAGCTCTAATCCAGCAAGACGCGGTTCATCTTGATCCGCTCTTTCTCAGTGAAAAGGATTATAGAACTTTTGGCCTCCAGGGTCGACAGAAACTGCCTGCATTTGTTAGTCCCACCATAGAAGTATATGATCCTTATCACTATAGCACCAACCAATTGGTGGATCAGTATCTTTCGCTGCCAAGGACAGTGGTAGCTCCTTCAGAATCATATTCTCTGACCGGGAGAGAGACTTACATAAATGGCTCGAGTTATGTAGAGAGTGAGACCAGAAATTATCCAGGAAGAATGGTTCCTGATGGTGGAGAAAGATCATATTCAACATATGCTTCACATGCACTATCTGATTACAATCAGAATTATCACCAACAACTCAGGGGCGCTTCTGAATTTCCATCGACATCAGTCTCATCCCGATATTCCTTTGCAGGTCCTCCTGCCTCGTACCTCTGAGCCAAAGTTGAATGGGTATTATTCTGCTCTCCCAAATAGTACAGGTAACTTAGAGGTGTAGAAGCTGCGCCTGCTGATTGTACTAGGCCAGATCCAATTTCTGCTCAGATGTGCTGATGGCAAGATATGAAAGCAATGTGGTGACCTTGGATGGTCCTTCTTGTCAAAAGGCGGTTTAACAAGTTTCTTCATTATTGTGCATTATATTGTTGTACTTTTGAATTTAGATCTATTTTAGTCATGTCACAAATGTTAGTCTGAGATCTGACTGTTGGGTTCGAAAATAGAACTGCAAAATATATTTTGCACTTGTTTAGTGATGTTATCGGGCTGTGTTTGCATCATTGATGACAGAGCTAACTAGTTTAAGCATGACATTGATTGGGAAGCCATGCACCATGCAGCATCCATGGAAGCATGTAAATTCTTTTTCTGTGCCCTCGTAGGATTTCAGTTTTCAATCTCTAGGTATCAGGGATGTATTTGTAAACCGCCAGTTTGGTTCACTGGATGACACAATTTTGGTAACTAAGCAGTTGCTGGTAGGTTTGGAGGCATTGTAAAAGGTTCTGGTCCAGTCGCCACATAACATTATTTGCAGAACTGCTTAAGCAAGCAGATGGCCTCAACATGGGGATGTATTCCCATGTGAGGAAATGTCCGGTTGTAGGAAAGGGACTCATTGTATTGAATGACCATTCAATGAGGTTGATTGGCATCATACCTAAAACGCGAGATCAATCATGACATTCTATTATCAATCTTATTTTTTTAATCTCATCGACTAATTTTCACCCCAAATACATCCAAACCCTTAATTCTCTTGCAATGGTAACCATTTGTTCGTTTAGTCTCTTAGAATGTCCCAAAATTGGAAGTTTTTAAGACAGTAGAATATGAGCAACGGCTACAGAACTGATAACTGCTACCGATTAAAACAATGATGGTGAGCCTTTGATCTCCTGATTATGTCATTTTGCCCCCATTTATCCTCCACAACTGCTCCTTTAGCATCTCCTACCAATGTGAAAAAATTACATTGCCAGCCTAAGGTACAGAAGCAAAACCACCATTTTGATCAGACTAATGACTAGCCTCGGGAGCTTGGGAATTTGTAATGGAATTATCGATACTTCCAGCAGTTGGTGCTGCTGCATTGGCTTGATAAATTGCTGGTGTAAACATTGAAGGGGCACCACTAGAAGAAGCTGTCCCTGTACTCCCTGGAACCATCGAGGGAGCATTCATTGTCACAGGCCCGGGGGTACCATTAACTTGACCAGGCAAGGAAGGAGCACCAGGTGGCACCATCACTGGCGGCATGGCTGGAGCAGACATATAACCTGGCAACATTAACAAAATGATCAAATACAATTCCTGAGGGAAAAAACATTTCATGCATAGCATGAATAGGTTTTCAACGCAATAAATATTTATCAGGCATTTAACTATGGCTACGACAGATAGCACACTCCTTTACTATAATATTTCAAATTACGAACCACTGATCAAGTTCTAATGTTATCCCGAGACATGCAAGGTGAAAATGCCCACTTGTAATGGAAAAATTGACTTCAAACAACAAAAAGATATTCATAATCCTTGTCCAACAAGAATATGGTTTCGAAAATGATTAAAGGAGACAAATTTGAGAGTGCCAAACCCAACAAAATTAGGTTTCCTACTGATACAAACATGAGTGTGTCTCTAGTTGGGGGTTCATACCTGGCGAACTTTGTGGTATTTTCTGTGCATGGATGTACCACATTTGAAAAGTAAATGATGTGAAAATCTTGGTGCTTCATGCCCCCATTCTTCTCAAACTAATGCACATTACGATAGACAAGTGACCAAACAGACAAATTCCACTTCCGTGATGCACCTGAGTTCTATACTTTATAACAACAAAAATGCATTTTAGGGATTTTTACAAGAAATTGTCAGTTGTATGCATGAAAATCCACAGAAGAATAAAGGAGGGATTATCCCTAGCAACTCCTCCAAATGGGAAAAAACTTATATTAGCAGCCTACATATTATACCTAGCAACTCCTCCAAACAATAAACTACAATGATGGCATACATTATTTAGCTCTAAAACTAGGAAGCTCAAATCCTAAAGATCCACGTACTATGTTCCTTCCAAAATTCACATAAGATGGATTAGATTTACCAACAAGACAAACCTCTTACAGCCTATGGGAAAGCTTTCTTGGGCATTTGTTTTGTTGCACTTGACTTAAGCAAAGTCCATTGGCAAGTCGCGACCTTCCCTTACTTACCAACTATGAAATCTAGATTCCCATCATAATAGGTTTCAGTGCTCCTTTGATACCCAGTCTCATCCACTGATGGTACAACCAAAGGTCCGAGAACACGAACACATATAAAATCAAATTTCCAATAAATTGCCCAAGTGTAAATGCATACAAACATGCACCACTACACGAAGCAAATATCTATCATGAAAACCAAACACAAAAGAGAGGTAATAAAAAACAAAATTCTAAGACAAAATTGTTATCAGTTCATCTGAAGTACCAGGAACTGGTCTCAGCAAAACAGGAGGCCTCATTCCTGGGGCCAAGGGTAAACTCGCAGGTAACTGTGTGTTTCCCGGAAACGGCAAAACCGGAGTAGGTAGAACAGGAAGACCAGGCCTCAGCGGGTTAAAAGAAGCACCAACTGGCCGGTACGCTGCAGCTTGCCCAAGATGTTCCTTAACCTTTTGGTCAATCAAACTTTGGTTAAGCTGTGCCTCATATTGCTGATAATAGGTCCGCACATTTGCCTGTTTCAGAGTAAACAAGTAAGCCACATCAAAGTCATGTGGCACATTACACTTCAAGAAAACAGTGCCAATACCTTGTGTTTGTAGCCCGTATTATGTTGCTTCCTAACGGATGGCTGAAATCACCCAAAAAAAAATATATTGACAGTGAGATCACAAAACCTTTTTAAAGAATGTTACAAAAAACAATCATGGAGCTTGACTAGGCTGATTAATACTCTTCTAAAAATACTCCTGTTTATCGATACTTTGTAGATGACCCCAAAGATATTCAAAGGCTTCAGTAGATTATAGATATTCTTTTTGAATCTAACGCCTATCAAGTATCCTGTTAGAAAAGTCCCAATATTAATTAGAAACAGGAATACTAATTTGATGTATCCCAAATTTGATTGAGTGATATATCCACACAATTTGGTTTTTAATGTTTAATTTGAAACCCCAAAACAAAACTAAAAATGATGTTACGAGCTGCATCCCATATAGAAAGTAATTGGTGCATGATCATATGGCATATAAGATCAAATGGGAATTTAGTTAGATCCAAGCACCACTAATATCCTGAGGTGTTTCTGAAATCAATCATTGAAACAAAAACAAATAATAACCAAAACAAATTAAGCGTTATGTTCCAATCATTTGGGGTCAGCTATACGAGTCCGTCTACACCATTCATTTCGATAATGCGTTATATGCTCTTTTAAGTAAAGTATTTTCATATTTTTTTTGATTATTTCGTTCAATATTAATTTAGATCCACCCTTTCTTCTAGTACCATTAAGAAAAATTATATCATTTTTTCTCACCGATATTTTTATCGGCCTCTGTTGAACATAACCAACTCATCTTAATCTATTCTCTCTCAACTTGTCCTCAATTGAAGCTATTCCTATAATTTTTCTAATACGGTCATTTCGTATTCTATTCTTTCTAATTTTTTCACAAATCTACCTTTAACATTCTCATTTCCGTTTCACTCATTTTGTCACTATATTATTTTTTAGTTGCCGACCTTATATAGAACTTGCCTTCAATTTTATTAGTATCCTTCTCTCACATAATATGCCAACGGCTTTCCGACACATGAAACAAAAACAGATAATCATAAATAATAAAAACGACTTAGAGAGCGAGAAATATGACTCACAGAATCATGTGTCAAATAAGTCTCGCAGTAGTCACAATAATACCTGACAAAATTTAACACAATCATGAACTCGGAGAAAAAACAAATTCTCATCAATTTTCTAAATTCCATGGATGAAGTCAAAAAAATTCATTAAGAGATTCGTTCGTACCGAGGCATGGATTCCAATAGCAAGAGTAAATCGCCTGCAAAGTTTTCAAATGATACATAAATAAGCACAACCGGATTAAAGAAAGAACGAAAAGAAACCTAGATTAGATGCTAGACTACGTATCATCAGCTCCAAATGCTTTAATCTCAACTATATTGTGTGATAGCCACATAAATATACTGCGGCTAACCTAATCTGTAACTTTGTAATCAAAACTAGAAAAAAATTTCAACTACGATTCCGTTTGTTTCCGCGGAAATTACATCGTAGAAAATTTCTTATAAACAAGTTGTATGAAACAATATCCATGAGAACAAACGAAGACCTAGTCAGATCCAAACACTACAAGTAGAAACTTATGAGGCCGACGAACTTGTTCGAATCACAGCTGAGTACAGATCAGAAACCCCCAGGAGGGAGAGAACTACGCAGAGAAAGCCCTAGAGAGAGAGAGAGAGACCACGTGCCTTCAAAATTGATAGAGTTGTTTTATTTTTATCTATAAGAGTAAATTAAACGAGTTGTTTTATATATAAGAGTAAATTAAACATATGACCTCAAAATATGACACTTATATCAACTAAATTTTTATAATTTTTTTTGTATTAATTAAATTCTTAAATTCTTTAATTATATCAATTGATCCCTTCTACCTGCTTTCAAAAAGTGATGAAGTGTGCCATTTTTTGTAATAAAATTTAATGAAGGCAGACAAAAAGGTACAATTAACAAAATTAAAAAATTCAGGGGCTCAATTGATAAAAAAAAAAAGAAATTAAAAAAACTTAATTGATAAAAATGTCATAATTTGAAGGTTATATGTATAGTTTACTTATTATCTAAATGACTTATAAGTGTAAAATTACTTTCAAATAAGCCATTAGAAATTTATTTTTCATCAATACCTTAGTCTCGAAATAGATAATCTGACTTTAACCTAACCGAGAAAAAAATTAGTCGAAATATACATAAGTTTGCCCGAACAACCCTGACCATTGGAGGAAAAAAAAAAACCCATAAACCAAATCTTTTCTCTATTAATTCTTATAATCTTTTAATTTGGATCAATGTACATCTTTCGTCTAATTTTCTCAAATATATTAACGGAATAATTAATCTGTGATTCATGTAATTATTTTATTTTTTTTATCCAACATGTAATTGATTCAAATAGGCATTCTAGACAATCTGACAAAAATATCTCAAGTACCCAATTAGGAATTCGTATTTTTATTTTGTAATTTTTGAGATGATTGTGTTTGAATATTTGAGATTTTTCAACATAATATCTAAAATGGGAATATTTTTGATAAAATTAGACGAAAAATTGTATTGACTCAAATTTAGAAGTTGGAGGGAGTGATCAAAATAAAGACAATGCCATAATGGTATAGTTTATGTGCCATTTAGAATTTTAGATAATTTACTCTTTATTAAGATATATGCATAAATACAAAATATTATATTTTAGATCATAGTCTAACAATTTGACGGTAAAAAGCACATGTGTTTTGAGCTCGAATTTTGGTAATTTTTTAAGTCAAGTTACGAGAAATTTATATCTCATCAATACTCTAATCTTAATGTAAATGATTTACCTTTAATCAAATCGAATAAGAGATTAATAGAATTATACGTAACCTAATTTGATGCACTACGAGACTGGTGAACTGATGATAAATGAATTTGAGTGACTCGACCTAAAAAATATCTTCAAAACTAGTTTGTTCTCTCTTAGGATTTTTCTTAAGTGGGATTTGCAATTTATAAGTGAACCTAAGTATAACGAAGGAAATCTAAATCCTAAAAATTAAATTCAAATCTTGTTATTTAGGTAAGAGCTAAAAATTGTCTCTAAAATTATAGTCTTTTTATTGTATTGAAATATCATTTTTTGATATTTTTTTTCAACTAATAAAAACATGGTACATGTTGCATTTTTTATATTTTATTATTTTTTCAATTAATGATGATAAAATATTCGGTTTAAAATTAATCCAATGGAGGTGTTAAATTTGGTAATGTTCTTTGACGAGCCCTTATCCCAACTGTATGGGTCCAATCCATGGAGTAAGCTCAAATCAGTTAAAAAGCAGATCAAGTTCAAATCATGACCTTAGGTCAATTCAAAGTTTAACAAACTCAAAAGATCAGCGCATGTTTGAGGAACAAACGTCGGGATAACTATTCGATGATCAAGATTATCTTTAATTGTACCTATCTTTAGTTGTAGCTATCCACTCCGAAGGACTAGTCACATATCCTTTCATACCATTACTTTAATTAAGGTTTTGTACCTATAAATTATAAGTTCTCTACACATTAGAGGGACATCTCTACACACCTTTTATTTAGCTACATCTCGCATAGCTACCTCATCACACATAAAACTTGTTCGTGCTCTCTTTCCTTTTAACTATTCTATAAATAAGGTCTTTCGGCCACCATCGTTGCCTTTAAAGAAGAGTAAGTCACCCTCATTGAACCATTTTATATCTGTGTGTTGTCTGTGTTGATTTTACCTTTATATTTATTACATATATTAATTACTCGACAGCTGGTGCATAAATTTATTTTTGTGTATCATCAATTTTTATGGTGGATCACTTATCATTAGTCCTGTCAAAATCCGACACAACACGATTAATCGATATAAATTAAGTGGATTTAAGTGAGATTTTAACGGATTCGGGTGATAAATAGGTTAATTCATCAGACACGTTTAATAAACGGTCAGTGAAACCTTTACCTGTTTAAAAAAATATTTATTTAAAAAAAGTAGTCAAAATTACAAACAGAATTCAAAGGCTTTGTTTCGAGAGTTACATACAGAGCAGCCTGTATGTAATACCAGTGGTGAGCACTCTGCTTCGAAGCCTCTGCAGTTGATAAGAATGCTCACCGTTTACATACAGAGGAGGCTGTATGTAATACCAGTGGTGAGCACTGTATTTTTGAGTGCTCTGTATGTAAACGGTGAACACTGTATGTCAACGGTGTCGAAGTCTTTTCTCCTGCTTCTCTCTTTCCTGCTTCTTATTCAGTTCATCTCCGGAATTCAAAGGCTTCTTGTATGAATCTCGAATTGTTGATTCCAACAAGGTCTCCAAAGCAACAGTCGTGAACGTAGGCATTTCTTCTTCTTCTTATTTTTCACAAATCTACAGAGATAATACACAGCCTGTGACTTTGGGGCTTACGAGTGCACAGTAAAAAATTTTGGCTTGAATTCCACGCGAACAAATTCAAATGAAGGAGCCTTCCATGCCTATAAAAACATGCGCCCGCGCCCCCCCAGTCGTTAAACCTTTTCATTTGCATCCAACTGAAAATCTTTTAATTAAGAGAATTGTGGATAATTAATGGAGTTTAAAATTTTAATAAGATAATTTTTTGTTGTAGGTTAAAATTTTAATAGAATAATTTTAATAAAATTAAATGGGTTAAACGAGTTATATCTTGTTATTTATTTTTTAAATAGTTCATGTTCGTGTTTAGATTTTTTACTCGTTTATTAAACGTATCGTGTACGAATTTACATATTTTTCACTTGTCACTTGTTTAACCCGACACATAACCGTTTAACCCGATATGTTTAACACTCCAAATTATCATGCATTCAAGTGGATTTCTTACTAATTAACGGCAAATAATTTATTATGATGAAAATTCAATACAAAATGTATTAGAAGCAAGGATTAAAATTTTATTTCACGACATTGTTTCTGTCAATTTGAAAATAGAAATAGAAAAATAATTTAAGAATTTATTTTTAAATATTTTTCAACTATTGATCAGAAAGTAATGTTACACAGACTTAAAAAACTGACTTGATAATGTTGCTATTATTATGTTTACTATTGATTTAATCGTAGGTCTCAATATTTATTAAAATTCACTATCTACTCAATAATAGTAGTTTATAAAATTAATTTTTTAAATATAACATTTTTTTGATCAAAATGTACTGAAACATCTTGAAACATATTGAAATATTATGAAACATATAAAAAAATCTTGAAACACTCAAAAATTGAAATTTTGATTCAATCAATAATTTTTTTTGATCTTTGTATAAATAATAAAATTTAGACTATTTTAAAACAAAATTTTGGTATAAAGTATAATCATAATTATATTACTCACAATTAGTACTGATAGTCGAACAAGTTCGAACGAATTTGAGCTGAGTCTAAAAAACTTATTTTCTTAATTGAATCTAAAAAATTATTTAAATTTAACTCATTTAGAAAATGAGTTAAGGCTTGAATGAGTTCAAAACGGTTCAAATTTAAGTTAAACCAGAGTATTTGCATATAAACAAATTAAGCCTGTCGAATTCGAGATGGATTTATTATATTTATTTAAATTATTTAAGTTTAACTCATTTAAAAAATAAATTAAATTTTAATGAGTTAAAAATATGTCGGACTCAAATCGAGTCGAATAGCTCAGTTAATTAGTAGTCCTGCTCATGATAGGATCCAGGACAACGGCATTGCCCAAGTCAAATCCACAATCTCCGGTGTTTTTGGTTTTCTTTTTGATTGTGTAAGTTGGTCGTTGTTATTATTTAATATATTTATATTTATGCGAGTGAGTTGCAAAAGAAACAGAGATTCATTGGTTCAGACTTGGCGGGACAGTCTGGCGTCCTTATCTTTGTGCCTCGGTTTCCACGCTATTCTACCATTTTACCCTTTTCAATTCAAGCACCCCGACGAGAAGTATGAATTGACAGTTTTACCCCCCTCACCATGAGGGAGACAAGGCTATTGTTTGTCTCAACTCTCAATGCCATTTAGGTTGTTCCACCGTTCCAGCAATTTTTTTTTTTTAATCTATTTATTAGGAATGTTTGAATTAATTTATACGTATTTTAATTATTTTTTTTTATTTTAATTAAAAGCTGCAATTCAAATTCAGTGTTAGTTTGATTTGATATTTGGGGAACCTCTATGATACCGATTTTTTATTTTTGTTCCGGTACGGCATATTACAACCTCTTATAGAAAAGTTATAATTTAAAAAAAAAAATTATAATTGGTCATTGGAAAGTCATGATCGACACAAATGATCAATCTTGAAATCTTGGTGTCAATTTCAACCTTTCATAATTAATCATATCCTTTAAAAGATGCAATAAAATTGTAACTTTCTTTTAACAAATTAGAAATTTCAGTATCAATTCCATATCTTTTCCTTGATTTTTGACATGTTTAGTTTTATTTGAAATTTATTGTATTTTTAAGTTTGTTTTACAGATGAGGTGAATATAAATAATATGTAATTTTGTTTAACTCAATAATACGTAATTCAATTCGAATAAAATTGGCTTGGTTAAATTTGAATAGATTTTTATAAATAAATCATAATTGAAAGATGAATAATTTCAAACTTATATTCAAATAATCACAAACCACATTTTTTTCCTCTCCCTTTCTTTTTTTCTAATCGACATTGGAAAGCATGAAAGTTTTTTTTCTCTACAAATTTTGGTTAATGTAGAATTTTTCATTTATGAATTCAAAATTTAAATTATTTTTGTTCATAAGCTGCACCAGATTTTAATTCGTATATTATTATTGGACTATATATGAGTAAGAATTTAAATTAAAATGCTGAATGCAATCAATTACAATTGAGTTGAATGTGAACATACTTTTCCTTTTAACATTAATGATCTAGATGATGACACTAACAAAGACTAAACATAAAACAAAATTACAATCTAACGTTGAAATAGACTTGAAATCCTAGGGTGAACAAACCACCCAATTATGAGCTAAATATCTGGTCTAGCCGTACATGGCAGCTGCAGCAAGTGTGCTATTCCATTGACCTGTCTTGTAACGAATTTATGTGAATTCTTCATTTGAAGTTGACTTGCGTCATTTGCTTATCCTAAATTTTATGTAAATGACTTATTTTTAATTAAATCGAAAAGAAATTAATTGAAGTATGCATAAATAAATTCAAACACTTTTTAATGATGCACAAAATTGATTTGTACACTATCTATTAATTAAACAATATAAAATGCAGTGAGTAGAAGAAGAGTAAAGACAAGATTTATAGTAGTTCGACCAATGAGACCTAGGTTCGTCGGAAATTTTATTGAATCTAGTGTGGTGAGAGAACAAGAATTACAAGAGAGAGAGAGATGAGCTTGATTTTGTTGAGATGCCCCCCAAGTGTTGTGGGAGCTTACAATTTATAGAAGCTTGCGTAATAATTGAGTAGCTTGACGGTTATAACGGACTGGAGACAACTTATTAGCTGATGACCTCTCATCTTCTTGGCGACCTCTTATCTTCCTCAACGGGCAAAGGTATAACTCTTAGATGTTCTCGTAGCTCCCTGATAGACTTGACCGTCTTGTACCTCATAGAGCTTGGCTTGGGCTTTTTCCCATTGATTGGGCCATTTGGGCTTAATCCATCATTTGTCCCTCAATGCCCCATATCCAATGAAACTTGGAGAAGTGAACATTCAACTGAATTTAAATTCTGACTCAAGAATACTCGTCACATGTTACGTCCATGTTGCGCTATGACAGGTTGCGGGGATCGCCCTGCCCAGACAGGTCGCGGGGTTCCACCTGTGCCGCCAGTGGTGAGCTCTCCTCAGTCAACCCCACCACTAGCACCTCAAGCGCCCTCTCCTCAAGTGATCAATCCAGAGGTGCCTTCTCGGTCAGTGACTCCCACGGCTGCACCTCCTGCCCCAGAATCTCGTATAGAGTCTTGTTTGTTGGCCACACCTTCTGCCCCCATTCTTCTACTCCTCCTGTAAGGACTTCATCTAGGGCACCTTCTTAGATTAACTCCATGCTGGGTAAAACGAAGGTTATCAGGGATCGACTTAGGAGATTTTTGTTCACCAACGATGTGAATGAGATTAGTGCCTTGGGCACCGAGGGGATCCTCAACTCTTTCCTAGAAGGCTGGGCTCAGGTAAGGTTTCTCTCCCCTTTCTCCCTTCCTTCCATAAGTTTCTGACATTCTTCTGCCTTCTGTTTCTCTTTAGGTCTCCACTGCAGCTATGTGTTTAATTTCAAGGACCCTCCTTTATCACAAGCTGAAACACGATCATGAAGTGGTGCAAAATAAGCTTCTTGCTGCTTAGAGGAGGATCACCGAGCTTGAAGCTACTGGCAAGGCTTCTAATTCTGACCTTGTGGCAACCCATGAGAGGGCGATCGGTCTTGAGATCGAGCTTTCGACGACCCATAGGAGGGTGTCCGGGCTCGAGACTGAGCTTGTTGAGGTCATGAGAGGGTCATGCTCAGTGAGGCTGAGCTTTCACCAACCCATGGGAGGGAGACCAAGCTCGAGGCTAAGCTTGCAAAGGTCCATGAGAGGGTCATGCTCAAAGAAGCTGCCGCAGAGACAAAGATGAAGGCTACTCACGAGAGAGCTTCACGGGCTGAGGAGAGGGCTGTGATAGTTAAGAGGGACTTTGAGAATGGTCTTGTAGATGCCTTCATTGACGGTTATGAGGAGCTTAAGGAAAATATTTTTGTTGTTTTTTTCGATATTGATGTCTCAGGCTTCTTGTCAACTGAGGCGCCTGATGGCAATGACGGAGATTCTGACGATGTCGAGGGTGACGATGAGGAGGAGGATGATGACCATGAGTAGTTAGCATGCTAGAGACTTTTTGATTTTTTGTTTTTTTTTTTAAAAGGCATTTTGTAGCCATACTTTTATAAAAGTGGTTTTTTGCCACTGATGGTACTTTGAAGTTGAGAAGTTAAATATGAAAATGCCAAGATCTTTTTGAAATAAATCTCTGAAATTTTATTCTTATTCATTTTTCTGCTCATATAAAGCAATATTGGGTAATAGCCCCATAAAAGAGTACAAAAGATAAAATCAAGTCCCCAACTTTTCTACTATCTCAAGGTATCATTGGAAGTACCTCTTCAAGTGCTCCGCGTTCCATGGATTGGGTAAGACCTTCCCTTCAGAATTTCTGGATCTTGTAAGTGTCTGGCCTCACCGCTTTTGTTATAAGGTATGGTCCTTCCCATTTTGGTCCCTACTTTCCTTTGCGTGAATCCTTTGTGGTGAGTATCACTTTCTTGAGGACCCAATCTCCTGGTTGGAAGGAACGAGGCTTTACCCTCGAG